CGCTGAGGCGGACGGTGGACGTTGGAATAACCGTCTTTGGATAACACTTTTAGCCAACTCGATCTGGTAAGTTAGTTAAGCTTAATCCGACGACCGGCCACACAGCAACATCGCCAACAACATCGCCAACGTCGTCGCCATCATCTCATAGCACTGCAGGGTCGAAATGGATGCCTATTTCGCGGACGACCAGATGCCTGTCGAGCTAGTTGCAACGCTAATCGCGCGGCTAAACGTTGAGGCTGGGAGCGAGCGGATGAGGCGCTTGTTGCCGTGGCAACAATCCTGACAGCTGTGTTTTTGCTCGGCCCGCGCTCTTGAAGACAACAGCCATGTTGTTTCAACAAACAACGGCACCAGCATCTCTACAGTCAGACATTCCTTAGTATATGCTTGCAACTTTACAGCAGTGGCCATGGGGAAGATTGAGCCGCCGTTTCTCTACGACCCGCCATCCCTCTATCCCAAGTCCGCACAGGTTGCTGACTTCAACCCCAAGGCTGTTACGCTGAACAGCTGGGCGCCTCGGCCGCAGAAGCCAAAGAAAGATGGGCCCTTGGTCAACTTCAACCAGCATCCGGACTCGGTAACTAACATTACTCTGCCGTTTATATGTTTCAGCCTCGAAGAAATCTAACACCTGAGCCTGCTAGTACGCGGTCCTTCCAACCGGAAGAAAACCCATCACAAATATGAGCCCGAATGTTAAGAAATATGTCAAGTATGCTCGAATTTTCCAGCTCATTTTGCGAGCTTTGACTCTCATTGGGGTTATGGGAATGCTCTTCTGCGTTATCTGTATCAACAACACGACAACTCAGGTAGCATGGATTATCCGGATAGGGGTAGGTTGATACTACTTTTTTTATATATATTTTACGTTTTATCGTCTACCGCCTAACAATCAAACAACTAGCCCGCGGTTTCAATGGTGCACACGATCTACGCAGTTTTCCATCTTTGTCGATCTGCGACCTCCCGTACTCCTGGTTCCACGGCAAGTTACATGCTCTTTGCAGCAGTGCTGGACGCTGGCCTGATTCCTTTCTACGTATTCACTGCCTTGATCTCCCGAACGGAACATGAATCGAAGAGCTATGGTTGGAAGACACTGTTTAGTGACGACAATGCCAATGCGAAGATCATCTATGCTACGTTTCTCATTGCCATGACAGTTGGTGGGTTTCATCTCGCGTCGTTGATTGTGGATATCTATCTGGCGGTGGTGTTCCGCAAGATAACCAAGTTGCCACCAGACATGAACCCGTTGGAAGATAACTTAACTGCCCGTCCGCATAAGCGCACCAGATCTGAGATAGCCGAGAAGCATCTTAGTCAAAGCACAATTGGCTCGTCTGAGACGGATCCATACAACACCATCCTGCCAGCTACTCGCACGGTGCCATTTGCGCACACAAGGACCGATTCCGGAGTGACTCTCACAGGCACCACCCAGCCCCAGAAGCAGGTAGATGACCGGTCGTCATACTACTCTGCTAAGTCGCACCGTCGCTCGCGTTCTGATCTCCCAAGCCAACAGGTTCGCCAGTATGAGGAATCTAGTCGACCCAAAACACCCATTTCTCGCACCACCATTAAGGGGAGAGGAAACGGATCATCCAGGCCCCAGTCCGCTGTTTTCCATACTCCGCCGTCCACCACACAATCCCGGCCATCGTCTGGAGATATCCAGAACCGTGGTCCAAGTGTATCTTCTAACTGGGAGGCGTATCCTTCAAATCCTCCATCGCCTGAGCTGAATGCTCAAGGAGCTTCGCCATTCAGAGATTCTGTCGGTAACCCAGCGCTGGACGATGAAGATGCAATCTGGGACGATAATTTCGAGGGAGATGATGATCTGATTCAACGAAGTGGTACCGTTCTGCGACACCGAGGAGTATACGCTGCTGTAGATGACGACGACGACGATGAAGACGAGGCAATCCTTAATCCCAACGAATCAGACAATATGTTTGGATATCAACAAAGCCAGGGCGAGCGTTATTATTCCAAAGGCAAAACTGAGCAGTTCAACCACAATTCTGGTCTGGAGGTGAATCCACTATCCATGAATCCGCCAACTCCCCGCCCACTGGATCCAGAGGAGGAGAGCAAGGAAGCTGCTCGAAGCGATGTCCGTCGTGAGGTACTTTCTAACCTTCCAAACCCATCTGCCACCCCTTCCAAAGCTACGCCTGGTAGTAAGTCACGCTCGTATGGGGAACTTGCAAAGAACACTCCGTCCCCTGGTAGCAACAAGAAACTGTCATCCCGTTGGAGACGTAAGAGCGGCCGAGTGTCAGCTTACGAATCTCTCCGAGGAGAGACTGATGACGCTGATGACAACTTTGAGTCGCACGTCGGCAAAGGTGAGACTGACCGCAAAGGACGAGTTGTTAGCAACACTGGCATCGACCTTGGCCCAGATCTAGGTTCCGGCTCGCCAGGGTACGGAAATTATCTAGCCGGCTTGGGAGTTGGCCGCCGTCGCGAGGTCAGTGGGAAAGTTGCAGAAGAAGGGAGGGGCGGTGACCTCATCCCAGATGAGAGTGAATCATCCCCGTCCAAGAACAAAGGAGGCCATCAACCTTCAAAATCGAAGGAAATTAAAGCTGCGGGCTGGGCACGGTGGAAGGGTTTGTGAGGGACTGCGGTCCCATAGGTAGGGGTGAGAAGGTGAGAAGGGAAGGGGAAAGAGATGCAAGTCCCCGAGGTTTGCCGTGAATATCTGCAACTTTTTGATACTTGCTTTGACACATGTTTCTTTTTATATCTCCTGCCATGTTTTTTTTTTATGTTGATGTTCGATCATGACAGGGTTAAGTATGATTTTCGGCCGGACGAAGTAGTGAAGTGTGGGGAAGCGAAGGAGGAAGAAGGGGTTACAGATTTTACAGATGCTTGATGCTTGAATAGTTAACGTGTTCGATGACGCTGGGATGCCGGGTATGTGTTTGGATGGATCGTTTATGAGGAGTTCGAGGGTGCCGACCATAGTTACTTCATACCTATTCTCTACTTATTAACTAAACACCATAGTTGTTTCTATCATAAATTGATCGTTGAACCAGAACGATATTGTCCCAGAAGTATTAACTGTGGGTCAGGCCTCTCAGGCCACCATCAAAAGATCCCGGCGCTGCCATGCCATATGTATTGGTCTGCAACCAACTTCCTGCCATCGCATGCTGCTGTATGGTCGTATTTTTCCTCGACATGCTTGCTCTGTCTTGCTCTTCCTCGACGGATTTGAAAAGATAAGCACCGTTTCCTTGTGGATGGGAGTACACCGGGTACATCACGCATATAATCCTAGCCCGGCACATCAACGAGTTGCTTTCTCGTAACGTAACGGCATTGCTGTCTCTCGACGCCTTATATGTATGCATTTCCACGCCTATCCTTGTTCCTGGGATGGTCATATACAGAGTAAGCACTGCAGACACACACACACACATCCATCCATGTACACGCTGATGTACGCTGATGTACACTCGGCATCTCTTGCATGGCCTCCTGCAGTCAGCATGAGCCGAGAAGCTGTCCGTGATCCTTGATATTCGGGTCCTGGAGGAGGCCTCCGTCAATTAAACGTGGTTAGGAGGTGCATGGCCCGGCAGTTCATTATTTGTGTCTGTCTGGTCTCCTCAACCACGAGAGAGTTTCGGTGGCAAGGTCAGCAGAGGATTAACAGCGGAGAATATCGAGCTGTAACCCAGCAAGGCAGGACGAGGAGCTGGCCCTCTGGTTTGCTGCCTGGCCTCGCTCTGGTCTGGTGCGGCTGCTAATAATGCGACTCCGCCTTGAGACAGATACAGCTGGATGGCCCCGATCCCCAGCAGGAGGAGGAGCCTGGAGACAAGCCGATGGAGACGTGGGATCTTGATATACGAGGCAGCTTTGCTCTCGACTGTGCTATTGGGTACCGCGATCCCGTAGCCAGAAATAGATACAATCGTTCGGCTTTCCCTTGAGGCTGGGAGGAACACGTCGTACCAACGGAGGTACTCCGTTTCGCGATGACTGTGTAGGAGTAGTCGGCCTGCTTCCTTTTGCTTTTTGCTGTCCCTTCGTGTTTTTTTTTGATAGATGCGGCTTCGTCATGGGACGGTAAAGCTGCGTGTTTGACGGGGCGTTATGGACAACAAGGCTGACGGGTGATATGCGCCTCCATCAAGTATGTACACGGAGGTCCCGGGTACTTTGCCTCTGCTGCCGAGCATCGAAGCCGGAAGATAGCGGAGCTTGTATATGTACACCGCACTTTTCGACAGGAAGGTTGCAGGATAGTGCAGAGCTTGTTCATACGAAAAGAAAAGAAAAAAAAAAAAGAGAAGGCCATGTGCCTTTGGGAGCTGAAAAGGGGCGTGTCCATGGTTTGCTTTGTATGCGCCGTTGAAAGGTGAGATTTGGTCTCTCGAATGGTAAGACATGGTAATTTGATTCTATGTACTGAATACTTGGAACATTCTTTTTTGAGTATTTTTGTGAATTTTTTCTCGTTTTGGTTCTAAAAAGAAAAAGAAAAAAGAGATGTAAGGAGATGGAGAGCGTATGTATGTCGCTCAGAGATATATAGACGAGAAGACAGGAGGTCGGCTATGTGCAGATCTAATAGACGTAACATGAACAGAAAGGATATATATATAGGCAGAGAAAAAGGGAAAGAGGTTGTACCAGCAGATGACGAACAGCTTATGTGCAGGCAAGATATGTCAGAGAAAAGAAACCATCGAGGGGTGAGAGTGTAGTCATTAGTGTATCCAGGCCGGACAGGTGGCGGGTATGAGAGAGAAAGGGTTGATAAAAAAAATTACAGGGAAGTAAAAATGAAGGTGTTTGTTCTCAGAGGGTAGTCTGAGGTGCCTGCACCTCCGCGTGTGTCACGTTTAGGAAACGATGTACTGCTTGTCCTTCTTGATCTGCTCAATGACCTCAATTGGTACATTGATGGCGGCAGCAGCGATGTCTGAAGGAGTAAGGGCGAGCCATTGGCTGAGGGAGACGTCAGCGACACGGTCGGCCTTGTAGAGCTCAAGGTAGATAAGCTCCTCGGTCTCAGAGGTGTTCTCGATATAATGGCCAGAGTTGTCTGGGAAAACACCGGCATCACCAGCGGTGAAGTCGAAGGTTCGGGCAAGACCACCACCGATATAGACAGTAGCACGGGCATTTCCGCTGTGGAAGTAGAGCCACTCCTCAGCCTATACGATAAATAGTTAGATGAGATTAAAATAAGAGGCAAAGGCATTCAAAGGAAAGCTTACAGTTGGGTGCCAGTGAAGCTCGCGCATGCCACCAGGCTTTAGGCGGACGACAGCACAAGCAATGGTCTTGGAGACCGGGAAGTTCTTAGAGTCAACAACTTGGATAGTACCACCACCACCGGGAACCTGGATCTCTGGAGCGTTGGAGATGTGGAAGGTGTAGGAGCTGTTGCCAGTGAGAGCGCCATTGCCACCTTCGACAGTTTTGGTGCTAATGGTGGAGTTGATGAGGGCGAGGTCGGGGTTGTAGGTCTTGTCAAAGGTACTGGGTGGGACACCGAAGTTCTTGGCCAGAACGTCCTTTGGTGTGTGCGAAATCCAGTCGGCAACCATGAAGGTGGTTCTAAGAAGCAGTTAGTCGCATGCGATTAACATCAAGGGATAGCTTAAAAACATACCCGACACGGTCGAAGTCACCGTCATCGAAAATCAGTAAAATCTCGTTCTCGTCCTCGAGACCCTGGAGAGAGTGAGCAGCTCCCTTGGGGAAGTAGTACATGTCACCAACTCCAAGCTTGTCAAGCTGGAACTGGCCATCCTCAGTGACGGCAGATATTAGGAATGAACCAGCGTAGATGTAAGCCCATTCAGCCTAGAAAATAAAAGTCTCAGTATACAATTGTGGTCTGATCCAATTTGCAGAAAAAAAAGGACGAAAGGTGGAGATGTGTTAAAACATACAACTCTGTGCCAGTGCATCTGTCGGATACCACCCTTGATCAAATGGACTTGGGCACCCGCGATGTCATGACTGGTTGGTAGATCCTGGATGACCTGCTCACGGATCCAACCGCCATACAACATTCGTGTCTTGGATAGGGAGAAACTCCATTTCATGTTGGGAACAAGGCCATTATCAGTAGCTGGCTGACCGCCGATATTGCTTGGATTCTGGAGGTCAAGCTGATTGTTGGTACCACCTGACATTCGAAATGAGTAAAATGGCCTTCGGCAAGGTTGGTAAGGGGGGTGAAGGCTGGAATATCATACCAGAAAAGACAGCTCCCTTTCCGCTCTCCTGGATAGGTTGGCCAGGAACTCCGCCCTTGGGAATGGGGATGGTAGCATCTGCTATGGCAGCAAGCGCGGCCACCAATACTGTGCTGTACTTCATTTTGTGTGCGTTATGTATTTGCGGTGCGAAAGACTCCCAACTTTTTGAATTGCGTCAACGCAAAGGATATGAAATCCCCCGTTTGAACCCCCGACGGTCGATGGGTGGTTGGAAGGAGGTTGGATAACTTGTTATCCTCAAAAGGAGTGGATATGAATTCTGATCTACAGAACTGTTGTTGACGGGCTGGAGGAGTGGTTATTTATGTAAAATCTGTTGACAGTGGAAGGAAGATAAATATATATATATTTAGCCTCCGTATTGAACGTGGCTAAGGCTAAGGCCACTGGTATCCGCCAGGCAGGGCCTATCATGCGCCTAGCTACGCTCCCCCCCTCTCCACCCTGGTTCCTCTACCAATACCGTTCTTGGTCTCTGCTGGTCAGATTGAAACAGTATGTCGGCCCGCGGAAACGCTACTCACACCTTTTGGCCCAGAGCGGCCGAGAGAATGCCAAAAGATCGAAGGGAAAAGCAAAGATAGCCAGGGAAAAAGGAAGAACCCGAGTGCTAAGGAAGACCAAGGACATTCAAGAGCAACTTCGTTGCGAGGAAGAATCGTATGAGACACCTAGTGTTTGTCTCATTAAATCAGCCAGAAAGAAAAAATTGGAGCATGGAGCTCTATTTCGGACCCTGTTGAAGTTTGTTGCTTTTTTTTTTTCTTTTGCAATGCAATCCTTTTGGGTGCCTTTTTGTTTTATTTTTTTTTGAAGATGTTCCTTCTATACAGCTTTGCTTTTTTTAATCACTTTGCTTCTTTTTGCCCTTTTTTGCATCCCATGGGGATAAGTAGGGGTACCCGTACGGGGGTGGCAGACTCGGCTTACATAGAAGTATGTGGCGGGGTCGTTAGGCTCAAGCTTTAAAAAGTCTGCTGTTTCAACTTTATCCCATTCAATTTCGGTTCCACATTTTGCTGGAGAGGTTCCTCCACATGGTTGGCGAGCGGGCTATAGATAGCACGCTAAGCCAGGGACTTAGCCTCCACCACAGTCGTCTCGGACAACAATCTCAGTTTGATTTGCAACGAGGTTACGACTCCACGTGATGGGATGCCACGACCTTGGAGGGTGCTTCAGGGCCTTCTCTGGCTTCTGGAAGGATGGTGATGCCTGATTGTTACCTACGTGCGATGTGCTCCAGCCGACTTGGATATTGATGGAAGTCGAGTCAATCAGAATAAACCAGTTTCGGCCAAGGGCATATCTTCAGGCGTCAGAGGTAGAAAGCAGATGCGTAAGGATAACTATGATCGTCTCCCGCGTCTACACTTACCACAAAGACCCAAACTCCGCTTCTCCGTCTGTAAGAGGACGGCTCCGTATATGTTTGACTGAGGAAAATAATGAATCATGATCAGCTCCCCAAAGGTAGTGTTACACCTATTTTCCGTTTAGGGAACGAGCGTTTGCGCTCGCGAGAACATGACTGACAAAGCAAACACGACACAACCCGAGAACAGCGTCGAAAGAAGAACTCGGAATTGCTGCAGTTCGGGAGTTCACCCCTGGTCTTCCCGTCTGCTGGCCAACGTCAACCAGAGTTGGTCAAGGGGAACGAAGAAAAGTGCCGTGGGAATCCGTTCGGTCGGCTGGTTCGGATCATCCACCAAGACCGCCTGAGTCAGTACTCCATATGTAAGTACTGTATATAAGAAGAGCGGACTCCTTGGTTCTTGGAAGCTCACCAGGTTGCTCTGTGTATTTTCTCTTGTTCTTTTATCTTACACTTCTCCTTGCTGCTTCTGTGCATGAAGGCCAGTCAGATTATACTTGAACCCCAGCCTGGGGGTGCTGGGCGCCACTTGGCGACGTAAGCCAATGCTTCAGAAGCTTCGGTGGCCATCCACGGAATTCTGGGGCTGGTGGAAGTATAATAATACGAACGACGAACCAGCGCTGTTCTCGAGAGCAACGGACCCATGGACAAGAAAGGGGTAAATTCGGCTATCCTCTGGCAAGGATGGTCCCCCGGGGTCCGCCTCGGCGTGCATGGGTCTCAGGATCCCAGTCTGTCCACGGCTTTTGTTCGTCTGCGCTGCTTGTTAGAACATCCTGAGGCAGCAGTCTCCGCGACAGTGAGACTCACGCAAAATCAACCTTCCATCCACATCCACCTTTGTGATGCCTCTGCCTCGTCAGCTCCGTCGCCCCGTCTGCTGCGGTCCTTTGCTGTCTTTGCTGTTGTTTTTCTTCCTGGACGTTGAAGAAACGAAGAAGAAATAAGAAAGACGCTAACCCCAAAATAGAGGTCACGTGGTATCCCGAGGCTCAACCGAAAATAAAATAAAACACAAAAGATATAAAAAAAAAAGCCAACAGCAAAAAGCAAAATAACAGAAAAAGCAAAGGACAATACGAAGTTACAAAAGGCGGATTCTTCAGCTTAACTAACGAACACCAAAACAGGGCGTGCATCATCATCTACTCATTTTGGGGTTGAACAATCTTGACTTGCCTGGCAGAGAGATCGCGGGATGGAAGGGGACAGCGACGGACCGTGCAGTGAACATCGTGTAGCTGGTCAGCGGGAATCTCACCGTCAGCAGGGCCAAGTTCTTGCTACTGCATCCTAGAAATGATCCTCGCCGCCTGATGATCAAACAGAGAAGATGCTCGTTATCTGACCTGACCCTGGGCGAACTGGAAATTAGCCTGCCCTTCCTTGCTCGGATCTGCCTGTTCAGTTGGCGGACAGAGAGGTCGTATCGGGAAGGGAAAATTATCCACCAGTAAGGGGATCTCCTGTTTCCACCATCTCTCCTTCATGGCCCCTGGAACGAGTCTGCCCTTCCCTTATCCCTCCCTCCCACGACTCCCTGATCCTTGACCCAACCTCGTTCTCCTGGCCGAGAGATTGGCCTATGAAAGTCAATCGATACGAACGGCTGCAACATTCCTCACTCGGGAAACTGTTATCCACCATTTCTCCTTCATAGGATGGGATATGGCTCCAACCACCCTTCCCCTGTCCAGGAATCGACAAACTACGGAGTTCCGCCTGGCTCAACACCATGTCAATGATGGGAGCTTCTGCACCGACCTCTTTTTTATTTACGATGCCCTATTTTTTGTTTTTGGTATCACGATGTGATGGCCTTTTTTTTTTTTTTTTAAAGACCACCATCAGTAGTAAGACGAGGGGTGAGGGTGATGATAGACGTGCGCAAAGTTTCCCCATGGAGTCGGAGATACAGTGTCCAAGAAGCTGTGGAAAACCGTTAACGATGACCAGGGAACGCGCAGTGCATTTGCATCTGGCCTACACGATTTGCCTACATGTATATCTACTACATATTTTTTTAACTATGCGGATGACTACATGATCCGCTTGATCTGTGGAACCATCAAGAGACCTCTGGATACTGGCGGTCTCTATTCGGTTTGTAAATCAGGATGGCCTCGGGTTGGACCGAATATCTCGTCCTCAGCCCTCGTCCTCGTCCCTCTGCATAAGCGCTTCATCAACAAATCTCCTTGTTCGTCTCTGGGCTTGTTTCGTTGGCCTTGGTTGACCCTTCTCGATTTCTTGATACGTAACAGCCATGCGGTCATGCATTACCATCCAGGCAAGCCAAGAATCTCACCGTACATGCATCCATTCACCTCCTTGAGAACGTCTGCAGAGTCCAAAATGAACCACGAACATGCTCGCAACGCACCATATCCCTTCACCTTCAAGCCAAGCTCCATACCTGCTCCCCCACGATGCCAGTGCAGGCGAATGTATCATCATATGGCGCCACCTTTTTCCTCCCTTTTTTCCTTCCTTTTTTTCTTTTTTGCCTGCTGCTAAACATAGCCGGAGACATTATTTTCATGTCAGATATGTGGCAAGATCTGCTTGCTAAAATCCTACTCTACCAGGCTGTGGGAACGCCTTGCAGGCTGGTCGTACAACATGGGCATACACTTGCACTTGACAACACGGAGGGTTTACGTTTCAATAATACTAATCCCTCGGGCATGGCGGCCGCCGCCCACGGAGCCAGCTCTCCTTTACAGACGTAGCAAGCTTGGTAAAGCGAAGCGAAACGAGCAACAAGCTGAATATGGCCTCAAATGCATACTTGCATATACTCAAGCATTGGCATTTGTCCTGATTACTCGAATCAAGGCCCGTTTGTTTCTTTTCTTACTCTCTTGTGCTGTTCAGCCATGGCGCCGTGAATATACATACATACGTTCGCCTAAGCCGCCAATAATGCCTTCGCTGAGCGGGTTTGAACTCTTCTGTGATGGTTCATCCTTTTGAGCACTCCGTCCCTTCCCGTCCTGTATTCCCGTACACTGACGGACCGTGGTCGAGGCCTTCTTGTTCTCTTTTGCCTGGCGGAGCAGGTAGCCACAGGCCATTTTCTCCTCCATCATGCATATGCCACCACATTCGTCTTGCTGGGCCTCGCTCAGGGCTGGCACGCACTAAGAGAAGACACAAAAAGCCAAAATAGAGCAAACGGGCTGGGCCGATAATATGTCAACGTCCATCTCCTGGAGCAACGTTGAAAGCGAAACCTCCGGTGTTCTATAAACGCCGTCCGGCGAGTTTACCAACCGTCCCTCTGAGAGTTTGCTCATGGTCAATGACTTCCCTGTGGTCGCCGAGCCGAGCTGGTTCAGGCACCAGAATTTCGGCCCGACGGCGCCAACTCGGAACATTTTTGACACTGCAGAGAACGACAGCTTTGTACGACTGCGCCCTTTAGCAAGAAGGTGGCCCTGTCGAAGAGCATGCTGAATATTCAGGCATTGGGACCAGACTGGTGCAGAATGTCAAAGTGCATGTTTAGTTGCCGCTACCATGCAGACGGGGAATGCCCTCGGTCTCCATGCCTTCATTTTACGACGGCTAAGGAAATTGTTAACAAACTAATTGGCGGGAAAAAGGTTTAGCCGTCAATTCCTCCAGTTTTTGGCTCTTTAGGCCGCTTTTTCGCTTCAATAGTCGCTTTCTTGCATTTACCCCTGTCAACGCTAAACGAGGCAAGCCGACTTAGTCACTGATATCAGCCGTCTCGAGTGGAGCCAAGGGGCGGAGGTCCTACAAGTCTTCCTTTCCTTCAGGAGATACTGATTGCAAAAATCGTCAAGGTGCTCCATCGCTAACATTATAATGGCACTAAAAACTACGGAGTACCCATATTAATATTATAATATAGGAGCTTGATGCGGCAAGCACAAATATTAACTCGTGCTAATAATAAGTAAGCATATGCATGCAACCCGTTGATGATATCCGGAATTATATCACCTCGTATACGATATCGCCATTACCTGGTTGTTAGCCCGATTTCCGCTTTGTGGACGCACGAAGTAACCCTCCATTATCGCTTCATGGTCGGTTTCAATAGACGGCTTCAAGGCCCTGTCTGCTTCGGAGGTGAATGTGCAGAGTACATGGGCCACCTTAAGAGACAATACTCGAACACAAACCCCTCCACAAAACCTGAATCTGTCTCGGGGAAGGAGCTGCATGGGACAGGGATCAGGCACTCTTCCGACAAATACTGGAGCAGGCTTTGGATATATCACGCACATCCCTGTCTGGAAGCTTGGGGAGCTCCCTTTGGCTCCCTTGAGTCCGGAAAATTATTCCACTTGATTCCACTTGATCGGTCACTTGCCGTTGTTAGCTAGCAGCGAGAGCTGGTCAGCTCCCTCAATGGATAGGCAAGCGGCTGGGACCTGAACATCTCCCAAGGCCCAGCTTCTTCAACTCCATGGGATTGTGATCAAAGCTGACAACAATGTATGCACATTTCAAAGCTCAACAGGAATATAAACTCCTACCATTTCTGTATACCCTTTACAATGATAAACCCCCTAATTACTGCTCAGAACTTTGTAAGTTCTACAAGCGGGATGCTGTGTCCAAGAGAGCCACCTACCAATGGGGCTCTCAGACCATACTCCATGGTCAGGCGTCGAGTCTCCAATTATACGAAGTTCTTCTCCGACTCTATATACCGGCATATCATTTTCATTTGTCTTAGTAGCAGGCTGGGGAGCACTTTGTCTAAATGCATACATCGATATATAGGGGCCCCCACTTGGCGGAGCCGGCCCGGCATATAGTCGTGTTTAGAATCACCGATGTTGCCATGCTCACATCGGCCTGAACTCGGAGAACGAGGTTGCTACCTGGTGCTATATGTGGTACCTGGTTATAATGCTCGCTGAATCCAACAAGGAGCTGCATCCTACATATCCTTTTGGCACCTCATTCACGACAGTGCATAAAAGTATATGATGAGCACCGTGCATATACTTAATTACCCTGGTGATTTTTTTTTGGTTGAATTGCTCATCATCGGTTCTTTATCTCCGCAGATATTCAAGTTTAGGTTCGATTTGGATAGAGGAATGATTCTACCCCTGTAGATCATACTCTGTTGCTTTATATGGCTAATGTGGACGGGCATCTTCATGCATTTGTTCTAATAACCCCTCTTTCATGAAGCGCAGATGGAATAAATACTCAAAATTGACGTTGAAACATGCGTTCAATCGGAAATTGCGCCGGCAGTCAGAGAGATTAGTGGAAGGAAAATTGAAGATGGATCGGTTTACACCAACTTGGCGGCGCTGCCATGACTCTCAGCCCATTGATACCCTTTCTATGAGGTCCATTAAACTTCCTGCAGCCTGTCACGCCCGTAGGCGGTGACAATAGCAAGTTTCCAATATACAGCTCTTCATCTTATTTGTGGTATAGTGGTCTCAAGAGCACACTCGGCATATGCTAGGCGGTTCTTGGCCGTCACAATTCACTCCCAGTCTGCAATCGTGTATATTTGTTTTCGCAATTTTTGTCTTGTCTCCTTCCTCCTTTGCGAACGTCAGGGAGGGGAATGTGGGATTATGTGCTTCCATCTCGATAGGGGCTTGGTATCCTTCCAGCTCTGACACTGTCCCCAAGCCCCGACTTATTCTTTCGTCCGGTACCCTCTTCACTGTCGTTCCTAGGCCATCAGAAAGCCCATAGACAGGCTTTTGATCCGTGATATCCTCTGCTTTTTCATGAACTGTCGCTTGTTCCTGGCATTTTTCTTGTCTCCGGCGAGGGCGATAAACGAAACAAAACCACCCTATTATGATGGATGTTGCAATCACAAACAGTCCTCCTATTATGCTCCCGACGATTGCACCCGTATAATCGTGAGACATATTCGGTACTGGTGCTCTTGTTTGGCCGGGTGCGGGAGCTGTGCATTCGTCGATACTATACCATACCCATGAGGTATTGTAGCATGTTGCTATATCAGCGACCTGGGTTACAGAAGACGAACAGGGCTGACCGGCGATGTCGTCTCTGCCATACAACGTTACTATGATACAAAGTGGTGAGGGTTAGTGTATGTTGTGAGAAGTAAATCAAAATAAGGCTGATAATCTGCTGCTTGACTTGGGAGATCTTCCAGTTCGCAATTAGGACATATTGGGTGTTTTTAAAACGGAAAAAAGTATGAAAAAAACGTTTGTTTCCCTACCAGAGCAGCCATCGTCGAGATTGACAACTTGAAAGCTACCATATTTTCCACTCCGTTCGAGTCTTGAACACGTCCCATTTGGGTACCCGTTAGGCCCGTCAAATGATGATAAGGAGTTCTGGCAATTTTCATCGGAAAATGTTGCAATGCTTGACGTAGACCCCACAAGGCTCCCATGTTGTAGTAGTACTATCAACATAAATGCTGCAGTAGGGATCCCTGCCGAGGATGGCCATGAGCAGGATACCAGACCCACCATCTTGTCCTACTGGAATTTGCGAGACGATCAAAACATGAGTGCGACGACTACTCCGTACAGAGGGGGGAAAGGGAGCAAAATTTCTGGCTCCCAGCTGCCCTGGCAGCAGATAAATAGCGGCTTGTTTAGTCCTCCACAACATGCTCTCATTGAGCAACGTTTGGGCAATCGTGTGGCCAGACAAAGGAAAGGAAAACCAGTCAGTGTGCCGTGGTGAACCTGCAACCCCTTGGCTGCAACTGAGCTATGCACAATTCATGAACAGCCCAATCAATATAGGTGATCCCACATTCGAGGTCTGACCAATGATCATCCCAGGTCTTATATATATAGCACAAGATGGCCGTGGGTATTCTTGTCTTGCTTAAGTTGCATTTTTTATTCTTCGCTGGCCCCTTTCCTCCCCTGAGAGGGTGCTTTGGCTCTCCCGCAGCGAAGTAGCGCGGCGCCATCAAAAGTAACATTCACGCCCCTTTAAGCATGAGCGTTTCTTTTTCACCATGTTAGAATATCTCTGATGTTACTCGGTACCTTCTCAGTACGGAGTAGTAACCAGGCTCTTGGACGCGTGGCTTTTTTTCTCAGCTGGTCCATGATGCAGCGGTACAAGATAAACCAAGGGAGCGGTAGCTCTCCATCAGGTTGGAGGTGGTTGGGATGCTCAAATACTTTTTTTAGTAACAAGGGCGGTGTGGCCCAAACAGGGGAAGAGGCTCTTTTTACCCGATGAGCTTATTTGAACGAACAACATCAAGCGTCACGCTGCCCGTTATTATGCTTGTTAGACAACTACGGAGTACACAGCACCTTATACGGCTCGATGTCGATGATAGCTCGGGTCTTTACCTAGCTATGAAAAACGAATCATATTCATGGGATGAATATGCGAGATGTATATTCGGCTTTTTTTCGCGATAATTACTGTACTCCGTAACCATGAATATATTCCAAAATACAGAACAGTCCAACAGCCAGCGTTTATGCCTATTTCTATTGTACTGAAAGCGATGTCTCAGTGCCCCATCTCGGAGTTAGTGCACCCGACGAGGCCCTCAAGACATATGACCTTGTCAACAGCAAGTCATCATACTTCTCATGCTCCTTTCTATTTGGCTTACACAAATATTCGACGCGAATATTATATAGAGTACAGGAAGGTTCGCCTCGCCAATTAAAAGGAATGGGAATGAGGCCAATGAGATAACTTATTATCCGGAGGCGTTGGTGCAAGTGCGTGAAACCTTCCGCTGCGGTCTCCCATACACAAAGATATTTCTCGGCAATGGCCGGGAATATGCCTAAAGTCTCAGCAGCAACGAAAGAGAGGAAATTTGCTACATACCTGGTTATCCGGAGTAGAGCGCTTTATATATACACTGGGCTACATAGTTAGAGGCTCTAGTTACCGAGGCTCTCCTAGAATCCACCTCATACTCGGACCACGGGAGTCTCAGAAATTCAGCCAGGCCGTTCCAACAGCGTCATAGTACCCAGGCGCTTGAACCAAAGGACCCTCACCCGCGATCATCCCACGTGTTTTTAGCCATCTGAAGAGGCTATGTGATGCACGATTACCCAGAGCGGACAGGACAAGGAGGGGTCTTTGGGAACTAGATGCATGAACTGTCTTGATTTGAAACTCGAGGCTCCAACTCCCGTTATACCGGGAAAAAGGAAGCTCCCACAGCATCAAACAACCTATTTTAGCACTTCATTTGACGGAGTTTCCCACTGCAGAAGGTCCCCAAATGGTCCCCTGCTGGGTGCTGAAACGTCCTATCTGCTGGATAGATATTTATATAAGCAGGTTAGTTACATATATAAGCGAGTATTTGATCTGATTTCGTCATACTTCGTACGGAGTACTCCGTGTCTCTCTGATAAATGTTGGCAGCTTTTCGTAGGCGAGAAAAAAAAAAAAAAAAGAAAGAAAGAAAGACCATCAAGTGTCGCTCAATTTGAGGTTGTATTAGTTACTCGAGTTTAATAATTTAATAACTACCAATTCAAAGTATGTATTAACTAACGAATAATGAACCCCAGATGATCTGACTGAATAATATTGGAAGACGACGCTCATCTAACGATGATGGCATAGTATACGGGGTAATTAGAGACGGGGTTGGATGGGTACTCCATGTCACTGACAGCGCAGCTAACAGGCCGATATGGAGCATTACATCTCATTGTCAAACACCGGGCTTCAGATCTACGTACTTTGTACGCGCTCTCGATATCCACAACGCGACAACCAAACCGATTTTTCGTAAGGTGGACTCCGCTCTCCATACAAACAAACAAACACCACGACTGCGACCTCTCTGTCGGTTGTCTCAGATGAGTAATTAAACTCTCTCGGACCTTGGGCTAAGGGAAACAAGCCTTCCAAAGCCTCGACTTGATAATCCGTCCCTTTACCCGTCTAGTTCCAGCCTCTTTACTCTGTATCCTCTAAAAAAAGGGACTTTCGCACGGTCGTGCAGGGCACCAAAGGATCACTCCTGTGCACGTACTTACTCGAAAGTATGCTGCGATTATGGAGGGCCACCTGGATAACAGTGGGACTTACACGCGGCTCTCGCTGCTACCGAGGCAAGGGGTACGAAAAGTGTTGACTGCTGCGTGGCCGGCCTAGTTATATTATTATTCCATCCAGCATTTCCATCGTTGTCGTCTCCCCAATATATGGGCACCGAGGTTTTGGATTTTAACGGCTCTACGGAGTTGGTTCCTACCTTGTCGGCTCTCGCCCTGCATGCGGCTTTGCTTGACGTTCGGTCTGACGGAAATTGTTAAGGTCGAAAGGAGAGCCTTTCTCCAAGCCAGGCTTTTCTTGTCTCTGAGCCCAACGGCATTGGTCTTAGCGCCGCTTAGTGACCAGTCAGGAATCAGTGAAAGACACCAGGAGTTTCTCCAGGACGCAAGAGTTAGCCGTGTGATGCCCAAAACCTCCAGGTGTGTGCGAGGTGATGGGCGCCAGAAGCCGTGCAGTTGACTTGGCTGTCACACTCACAAAAAGTCAATCTCGGGGCTGGCCGCAGGGAATATCTCGCAACTCCGGTTTTGCCCCCTTAACGGCTGGCTGTGATGGACCCTTTTCTTTCAAGCTCGACGACCGTGCGAATCGGAGATGTGGACCAACTAAAAAAGAGGAGAATTCCTTTTGCAGCTTCACCCGCTAACCATCTGATCAACAAAGCCCAGTTGTCTACAACGTAGTTAACTGGGCGAAGGAGTTTTCCTCCTTGTTACTTGCATTTGGATTACTCCTGGGTATGCACAAAGAGTCAAGCTTCTCATTGTCAGGGATCTTGTTCTCCTTTCAATCATCAAAACACCACCCTCCTCTTTCAACTCATAGCCCGAACGTATCCTTTCTTGACTCGATGGCCGTTTAACCTTGTCATACAAGCGTTACTTATCACGTACATTCTCGCTTGCCCCTCTGCTTCTACGGCGAGATCGAGCCCCCTGGATATTCAGTGTTACGTCGAGCCCTCCTTTTCCCATCTACTGATATTCTCGTATCAGCGAAGTGTCTTGGTTCATCTCCTGGCAATGCCTGCATAGCCCTGTTTATAGACTGTGCGTGTTGTCGATGGAGCTTCTAAATTGACAATCACACATAGTTCTGTATAGGCAATGCGTGACTATACTTGACGAAGGCATTTCAACACAACATTCAAACATACATTGACAAATGGATGCTCAACCTCCTTCAACCGTCGGTTCTCGAAGGGGAGTGCGGCTTCCCCCAATCCAAACAACAAGCAGGAGCTCAACTGTCCGTGTTAAGCCCCCTCTCCCAGAGGAGCTTGATAACGAGGAGTCGGGAAATCGAGTTCCTCTTCGTCCCAAACAGCACGGATTCGCTATTAGGAAATGGTTTACGAGGTCAAAATCACAACCATACATCCCTGGTAGAGATCCTCTGTTATCCGCCACGATAGCTCCTGAAGAACACAGTATCGCCAGCCATCCTTCAGGAATAGCTTCACCACTTCATAACGCGAATGTCACGCCGATATCAGTCACATCATCAACACCATTCCCCATTACCAATGATGACATATCAGCCGCTGTTGAGGAGCCAGGAGCTTTATCAGCATGGGACCCTCCGCCTTTTTTTATGGCGTATCCCAAGGCTGTGAAACATGCCACCTTGCCGTGCCCTATCCTGTCCACCGATGAAATACTGCGTCGTAAGATGCGTCGAGACCTAAAGGCCAGCCACTCTCGCGACAAAACAATGGATGGTGATAGCAATATGGACGGAATTGGGCACAAGGGTGTTATCAAATCGAAAACCTGGAAGAAAGGAAGAAAATCGCAATCCAGGAGCCAGTCTAGCTTCTCGTGTGGTCTCAAATGGTCCCAGAAGATATTCATATTGGCGACAAGCGGGCATCTACTTCAATATGGTATCGACGGAAACTTTGATCGACTCCCTGAAGAAGTTCTTGCACTAGGAAGGGATTCAGTTGCGTTTGCATGCGATGCAATTCCTGGCAGACATTGGGTTTTACAGATCTCCCAGACCCAAGATGATGTTGAACCAAGCCTAGAGCCGAAGAAGACAGTATTAGACCGATTTAGGCGCACCAGCAATGCGGAGCCACAGAAACCGACGAGCAGTTTCTTACTTATTCTGGATAGCGCCGAAGAACTGACGTCCTGGCTTACTTTTGTCCGGCGTGCAATACAAATCCTTGGAGGTAAAGACTATCCTCCTGAAACGCGTGGAGTCAATCAGCTGCAATCTTCGCCATTGACATCCGAAACCGTCAAGGGAGTCGTTCGGAAAGGCAGCGTAGACCAGGCCTTGTCATCTACACCAAGTGTAAGGGATGAGCAGGTATCTGTACCTGGTTTGACCAGAAGAGAAAGCCAGAGATATGTGCAACAACCAGCCGAGAGATCCTCCCCATCGTCTTTGGCAAGTGTTGTGGAACTAGACAACCTCAGGCGCAATTCGAGACTATCTTGCGTTTCCATTGGAACTCGAACAATGCCTAGTTCTCAATCCTCCTCTTCATCTGTTACATTGAAGACTCCAACACCAAAAAGTCCATGTAGGGAATCACCCGGAACCTCTCGCAGTCCTCGTCGAATTGCAAGCACCGACTTGGGGTTTAGACGCAAGTCTTTTATCAGGGCTTGCGGTAATTCAGAGGATTTTATCACCGAGACGCCGCTGCCACCGCTCCGCGCAGAAACCCACCTTGTTTGCACTCCGAACTTCAGCCACCCGATTGTCAACAAACGAAACTCGATAGCAATGAGCCCCAAGACAATATCTTTCCCGGTTGAGAGTGGACCATGTCAAAGTCCTGTTTTACATGTAATTCCAGCTTCCGAGATGTTCCATGGGCCCAATATAGGGCCCAATATTGCCACAAAAATCAATTCCACTCACGGATCACCCCCACGAAGAAGGGGGAGCGCTAGCAGTGATCTACTTGATTCTGAGGGGGCTTACAGTACCGCTGGAACTGATAGTAGTGAGACACAAGAACTGGATGATGATATACCCTCATTAATACCTATTTCGCCCCTTAGACGGACCCATCAGACAAGAAGGTATTCTTCCTCTGATGGTATGCAATGTTTCAATCGACCTATCTCTGAATACCGACCTGCCCTCTCTACTCTCAGGGATGAACCGTTGGATATCCCCGGCCTGTCTCCGGGGTACAATACAATAAGCAATCCACGCAGCCGCCCAAGGCCGCAAAGCCTAGGCCCAAGGGCTTATAGCGAACCTAGAATCAAGGTTTGCCGGAATTCCCGCCATCCAAGTCCCAGCTCGGAACTCAACCAGGACTCAATTGGACGCCAGCGATCTAATACTGCAAAGTCTTGCAATAGCAGGAGATCATCTTTGAACTCCCTCTCAAGCCGGAAAAGCATGCCTCAAATTCCACATGGGCCTCCTCCAGCTCCTCCTCCAACCTGCCCTCTACCAGAAGTACCATCACTTGCTATTCCAGAGGCGTTGCCTCCGTACGAGTCAAAACGACTGAGCATTGTTGGCTGCCAATGGCTACCACAAAAAAGCGCCGATTAATGTCTCGGCAGACAAATGATAATTAGCTTCTGCACACATACGGTCAACTTGTTAAAAACAAAAACAAAAAAGGGACAAAAAGGAAAGGGAAAAAAAAAAAAAAGAAAAAGAAAAAGAAAAAAAAAAAGAACGAAAAAAAAAAGACCATCCTATTCAGACTGTAATGCATACCTATGCCTTCATTTTCTCACTTTGCATCCGTCTCCGTTCTTTTATTCCTTGGAAGCATTGCATTTCTTTTCTCCTATCGAGTCATGGGTTCAACCATATTCTTATCGAGAATTCTCAGCCAATATGCCGCCCATGATACCCTCGATGCGTTTATCTTCCCCAGGATTCAAGTGCGTGTCTCACCAACGCGCCATCTGGATTGGACATATAACTGCATGCATGTACCATATAACCCATACATTGAACTATATACCCTGACGTCTACCGGTATTCCACCTGTACGCTACTACGGGGGGGGGGGGGGGGGGTGGGTTCCGCTGAAAACTGCGCCACCGGGAGCCCCGAGTCCATTCTCTTACCTCTCTTTTTCGACTTTTATATCAGTTCAACCACACCGATATCCGATATCGCCCAAGCATCATTTCATTGCTTCGCTTGTATTTTCTTTTCCTCATTTATTTCTTATTCTATATAGATACATTCTCTCTATATATGTCTTTCAACCTCTTGTATCCTCTTTTCTTTTCCTTTGGATACAACTACTAGGATTATGATATTACCAAAATGGGTCACAGGAGAAGCTGGAGCTGGCTTCACTGCTTCTATCCAAAATTCATGGTTTCTTATGTTTGTTCATTTTCTAATATTTATTCAAGCACTTTGGCACTTTGACACTTTGGTTTTCTTTTACACTCCTTTTCCTCCCCTTTTCCACTGGGTTTTGCATTCAATATCCATAGCATTGTGTAAATTGATCTGTGTTATAAAAATAATAACATATTTATTATCAACCCCATGACAACAATTATTAGATCCCGATGGCTCATGGTTGCTAAAACGCTATAATGTAATATAGTTTTGCATGCAATAATATTACAGGAATAAAGTTAATGCCAGATTTATTTTAGGGTAATTATTCATACATCGTGATATATAAACCAAGCCCTTGAGAAAAGATGAAGAGTAAAAAGGCGTTGAGGAAGGAAAGGGGAATAAGAAGTCGGAAGATAGAAGAGGCCAAAGTCAGGTGGTCAGGGGTACAAGTGAAGCAATAAAGGTAAAATGGGAGTCGGCTAAAGATAAATAAATAGGAGGCGTGGGGTATATAGAAAAGGGGTCTTAATTGGATTTTGGCCGTACCACCTCGAGACTACTCTTCTTCAGCATCCTCTACACTAGCTGCAAAGGCCTGTTTACCGGGCGACTGCTCAGAAGATTTGGTCTGATTTGCCTTTTCATTAGACACGTCTGGTGCGGTGACGGGTTGATCCGCAGCAGGAGCTTTTTCAGTAGTCGTGGGGGGAGCAGCTGTGGATTTTGAAGACTTGGGCTTTGACGGCTTTGACGATGAGCCATCTGTCTTCTTAGACCTCTTCTTTTTCTTAGTCTATATATAAATACGAGATTAGTCCATGACCCATGACCCTTTGCATGCCAAAGGATAAACTACTTTGAACAGGTAGGGTAAAGATTAACCTACCTCTTGCCAACCCCATACGGGTACGAAACTCTCAAAGAATCCAACATCTTCAAATAGGTTCGGGAATAGCCATAGTCCGGGCGAAGCAACGAAGAATGTGACTGCGAATAGAATAAGACGGAAGATAGCCATGGCGAAGAACAGACAGAGCAATCCCATCATGCCAACACTGAGATACCAGACACCCTGTCTAAGCATGATGGGCCACAAAGGGAACATGACGACAGCCATGATGGCAGCCAATACTCCAGCAGCCATAGCCTTCTGTTTCCATTGAGGCCCTTCGTATAGCCAGACATAGTGGGACATGGGATCGGTGTCTTGATGCTGTTGTATGCGAACGGTCCACAGGCCCTTGACTCTACCTTTCTTAGATGGCGGTTTTGCGTGGTTATGACCTTCATGGGGATCGATCTTGGTCACCTTCAAGGCTAGAAGGGACATTGGTAGAAGCCTAAATGCGTTTTCGGCAGATGCTAGATCAGTGACCGGTGGCAGGTTGGATTTGGGCTTAGCGGAGGCTTTGGCATAGGCAGGAGACTGAAGTGCTCGCAATGCTCGTTTAACTATGAGTCGTTAGTATAAACCAGGTATATTACCCGTAGATAACATTTGAATTGAACCTACCCTTGAACAACTCCTTTCTTCGGCCATCCAAGATGCAGACTCTCGGCTTCAGGTTCTGTGACCTCAAGAACTGCGCGACTGCTATTCCCTTTGGGTCTGGTGGGGCGTTAGAGTTAACAGGCACTTGATGTTGCTGCTGCTGCTGTTGAGAGTGCTGATGCTGGTGCTGGTGTTGTCCTTGCTGGCCCGGCTGTCCCTCCCCCTGCTGCTGCTGCTGCTGTTGTTGTTGCTGCTGCTGCTGCTGCTGCTGCATTTGGTGCTGTCGTAAGGCCTGAGCCTTCAGTCTATGGATAAACTGCTCGGTAGTAAGGCCTTGTCTAGCAGCCTCTGCCGCGATCTGTTCTCGCTGCATCTTGCCAAACTCCTCGACTGTCATTCCACGCCTTTGCGCCTCCGCAGCCATCTGCTGCTGCATCATCGCAATCTGTTCCGGAGTTGGACCCGGGGCGGCCATGGCGACGGTGTCCTCGACTTATGTACTCCCCAAAAACAAGCAAGCGAATGAAGCCAGAGTGTCACAGAGCGTTGTCTCGTTGGTCGGATGGGCGATGGATGTCTGCGGGCGAAAAAACACTTGGGAAGTTCAACAGTGTCCAGATCGCTGATTAGATAAGCCACATGTCACGTGATATACTCATCGCGCCGGCGCCTAAAAAAAAAAAAGGCGAAGAAAACGCCGAAAGGGCAGCGACAGGAGCAACGTCAGCAGGCATCAACAACAGGCAGATCGACGGCGACGACGGAGTGCGGCTTCAAGAGCCTACAATGGTCAATTGGCGTCTAGACTGGCTGACGAGTTGAGCTGGTCCGAGAGCGGCTCATGCGGGACTTCGACCCTGACAAAAGCGCTTCCCTTTACCCGCCATGGAACACCGTTGAATTGGTACGTCAGGGATGCCGGCTGTTGATGTGTAAAGGACCCTGCTAATAGCTGTCCTGTTTACAGTCTCAAAGAGATGCTTCGCTCCAGATACCCCTTGACCATGTGACAGTCCCTGCAGTGTCGCTCTCAGCGGCCTGCTTTGGCGATGGGCGGTACGAGGAGAATCCGACAAAGAAATGCGTGTCCAACCTTCTGTCGGTTGGCTATAGGCGTCTATATGTGGACGTATACTGGTCTCCTAAGGAAAGACTATGGAGCCTCTGTCCGATAGACACTACGGGCACCGACTCAACTCCAAGCACATCAAGCAGTATGTCGCCACAAGACAGAACTTCAAGCGCATCATCCGCTGCTCCCACTACAACCTCAATAACTGCCAGCATCAGGAAAAGAGACACACTATACCACATAGGGCCGTATTCATGTGCAAAGTCACTCGGCATTTCAACGCTTTCTGATATCCTCAAGGACTATTTCAAGACGACTGAGAATACCCTAAATGCTGACATGATGTTTTTGATCATAAACGTGCATGCTTCTGCTTCTCCGGATTCCCCGGAAGTGCCTTCCAGAATGCCTAGCTTGGAAGACCTTCCTCCTCCGCCGCTATTATTTGGCAAAATCATGGGGGAGGCGCTGGGCAGATCCATCTATAGCCCCAAACAATTGGTGGAAAATCGTCGGAATCTCCGCGAATCCTGGCTCTCCGTTCGTCCCCCGTATCAGCCAATCCCCGAATATCTAAAAACCACCGTAGATGGTAAAAACCATCTCGTCACATCTACCGGGTGGCCATGCACAGGGTATGCTGTTCTATCTCAAGCCACAAGACTCGTTATGGGCTGGGGTACCATCGACCCCCAGATGTCGTCTTACAACTTCACAGGTGACGATTTAGTCTTTCCACAAGGCTCACTTGAATCTCGCATAGACGTGGGATTTACTTCAGCATCTGATCTCACCAAAGGGTGCCTCTATGACGCAGATACCACAACCCTATCAGAGATTGAGCGCCCCTGGGCAGTGGCAGTACTTCCTTCCCGCAACACATCCAATGAGCTGTCACTATTGACCCGTCAGCTGGCATCTTGTGGAATCTCAGCCATTGTTAACCATACACTTTTTAATGTGACAGCGGATACTGATATCAGTCCTTACCAGAACGTCTCATTTTCCACTACGTGGTCTTGGGCAAAAGATGAGCCTCGCAATTCCACTCGGGCATCCACCCCGAAAACAAAGGATTCATTCCGTTGTGCAGCCATGCATGCAGTATCATCAGGAAGATGGCATGCTCATGATTGTAATGATGTGTATCGTGTTGCCTGTCGGGTTGGAAATTTACCATACGAATGGGTTATTTCTGAGCATGCTACAACCTACTTCAATGCCGAAAAAGCTTGCCCTGATAACACCTTGTTTTCCGTCCCAAGGACAGCACTAGAGAACACCTATCTCTATGCAAAGCTTGACTCGGAGTCCAATAGCACTGCAATAATTTCACCCGATGTTGAAGATAATAACAGCACTGAGGTACTCTGGATAGATTTCAACTCTGCTGACGTACCTACCTGCTGGGTTACTCATGGCCCCAGGGCGCAGTGCCCATATGAGCTGGATAATAACGAGATTGAAAGGAGGGCCATTCTCGTGCCAACCATTGCTGCTATTATCGTCCTGATCGTAGCTGCCTTGACTTTATTTGTCAAGTGCAATGCGAATCGACGAAATTCAAGGAGACGTAGAGTCATTGATGGGTGGGATTATGAAGGTGTACCTTCATAATAGTGTATTATTATCTTCTGGGGCTTTCTGGTTTGATGGAGTTGGTACATCGGTAGTCCGCTGATCAAAGTCTAGGGTTGTTGTACATTAGATATCTTACATATTCATCTATACATACTTTCTCTATGCTAAAACTCCAAGCATATCATTGACCTGCGCAAACTTCTCTCTAGGTTTACCCCTGGTCTGTCCACGCTCTTTTTCTACCCGATCTATCTCCTCCCAGTCTTTCCAGCTAGTTGGCCGTAGACCTCTCTTCTCGGCATCGGGGCGGACGCCATCCCACCCCAGACCCGTACTCTCCTTTCCGGATTTTGAATTGAGGAATTCCATATTATCACTTCCCCGATCACGATGTACTTCCCAGTCAGCTGCAATAGCATCAGCCGTCGCAAATGCATCCGTCATAGTTGAAGCAATGACTCCAGTGGGACCTCGCTTGACCCATCCTGCACAGTACACACCGGGTACATGGGTAGGGATGATATCAGCCTCACTGGCTGAAGGGATAGTATTTAAAACCCTTCCCTGGCCATCATTCGGTATTAAGCCACGGGAAGCATCAAACGGAACGGCAAGCTCGTCGAGCCCTGGAAGCGGACATGATTTGTACCCTATACTTCTGAAGCATAGGCTCGCCGATATATCTATATGAGCTACCTTGCCATCATCCGCCAAATGGGGCGAAATAGATGCCGAGGGTGAGTAAGGGTCAGCGGGGTCAAGCTGGTTACGGCTGAATGTAATATGTGACAAACGGCCGGGATGTTCTGAAGAAGAGTGGAATGAACGAGGAGAAAGGAGGAAATCAAGAGACCACTTTTTGGCCGAGCTGTCAAGGCTGGTTAGTGAACCTTTAGCAAGGAGTTGGGTGATTCGTTTATTCGCTCTGGGGAGCCCAGATATTATCGAATCGGGAGGAAGCAGGTTACTGGGTATAGGTTCAAATCCAACTGAAGGTAACTGCATAAGCTCTCGAACTTCTTTAATAGTGAAAGCGGCCTATATCCGCATGTTAGCCACAGAGTCCTGGATAATAGCAGCTCAAAGCAAGGCTTACCTGCATCGGTCCACGACGTCCAACCACCCTCACCCTTTTCACTCTGCTTGTTGCAAGTTCTTCAAGAGCATGCTCCGACATGTCGGTTTTTCGTAGGACATCCACATCAGATAGCAACACTCTCGCAACATCAAGAGCCACATTGCCCTGTCCAATTATAACTGCATCTTCTCCGCTAGCTAAATCGGGCGACAGATTTCTATATTCTGGTAATCCATTATACCATCCAACAAAGGCCCTAGCGGAGAAAATTCCTGAAAGCGATCTTTCGTTTGGCAGACCCAGCTCACGGTCTTTGGAAGCTCCGTAGGAGAAGAGAATGGCGTCATAGTGTGGTTTCAGAGAGTTCAGTGGGAGACCGCCACCCAGTTCAATGTTTCCAATGAAATTGAATCGTGGAGACGTCGCAACCTCTGTGAATTTATCTTGACAGTTCTATGGCCAATTCCATGTTAGCTGTTGAATTTTGGCAAAATATACCTTCCGGACCGAATGCAGCCTACCTTGACCTCCGGATGGTCTGGAGCAACACCATAGCGTACCAGACCGAATGGCACTGGTAATTGCTCGTACATATCAATAGTGGCCTCCGGCACCTTTCCCATTAACCTATAAGCAGCATAGAACCCGGCCGGCCCAGAGCCAATAACCGCAACGCGGAAGGGCCGTGGCGCCGCTGCACTGCTGTATTGGGACCATTGTATCGAGCGATTGATGCGTCGGCTCAAGCACCGGCCAAGCCGAGCACTCGGCCTTTGACGGGCAAAGAATGACATTGTCTATTGAGAGCTGTGCTCCATCGTTTTGTGACTGTCCAAATCTTTCTTTCGCTTCGGCTTTTGCGAGTCGTAAAAAAGTGACGGAATTATTAATCAGATAAGAAATGCCAAGACCAGGACTTTAGTTACAGTTAATCTAATCTGATCCGATCTTGTCATGTGATATGAAATCCCCAGAGGCGGCCTGGGCAGTTTGACCCATTAATATTGCATTATTAGCCCTCCTCACGAATGGACGTCCGGGTAATCTAATAATATACTAATTAGCGCGTGTCCTTCACCCCACGGCTTGGTGGGCATGCTATAGTTATAGACGTCTCCATCGAACGGTGTAGTACAAATTAATAATGCATATGCGCGTGCTCTATAGTTATCCAGCAGGGATGGACACCTAGCAAACCAGCAACCCGCGTCTCTACCTTCTGCCAGCCTGCCTCTCGTCGGCTTTCCATCTTCCAGCCCGTATCTGCCCTCTGCCTGCGCCGTCTATGCGTTTCTGCAGCCGCACAACTGACAGAGCATCATGACGTAATAGGCTTACATAAGCTAGAGCAACGGAGATCTCGTGACGTTGGTTGCCTAAAAGGGAAACCTGCGAGCTTCAACTTTTGACTCTTTTTTCTTTCTTTTCTTCTCTTTTCTTTTCTTTCTCTCACTTCGACTTTTGCCAGCTCGACGAAGGACGCGAAGAGGACATGAAGCGTTTCGTGTCCTGACAGCGGACGCCTCACTCGACTCACGCCTCGCTACGAGCCCAGCTTCACTAGCTGACATGCCGCCTGATCTAAATTCACTCCCTCCATCCACGTCGTCTTCTCCTCACCACACTCGCAGAGTCAGCCTGTCAATGGATAGCAGCAACGGCAGCCTCGCGCACTCGCTTTCGCCCCGATCCTCATCGATCTCGCTACAGGCTACAGCAACGATGAATGCGGCAGCAGACTTGTCTCGCCGTTCCTCCTCTGGAGCCCACCGCGGCTCGCCTCAGGCGAGACTCTCTGAGCGTCGCCGGTCTGGAGCTGCCAATCTCCACGAAGCCTCCCATTCTGACCCTACCGGCACCGAGTCTCCTCAGAATAGACACAATCGCTCCTCGTTTGGGAGTGCCTTCAGAACGCATAGTCCTACCAGCATTGCTGGAAGCCCTGTGATTGCTACTGGAGACCCCCACCATCAGCGTGCCCCTTCACTTGGCGAGCTGCACCAGGAGCTTGAGCAGGAGCAGGAAGCTCAAGTTGTAAGACATACAGCGTACCTATCTTGTTTATCCATGATACACGTCATACTTACTTTTTCTTCTCTTCACATAGAATCGACTCTTGTTGATGATTCGCAACCAGCAAGCCCAGTTGCAGCAGCTTCAATCACAGCAGCAGACCGCAGCAGGCGGCGGGACAGCCATCGATGACTCAACTCCCACCTCAGAGAGATCATTCTCCTTCCCACCTATCCCACCGCTACCTGCTGCTAGCCAGCGAATCCCTATTCCTACTGGGTCTAACCTCTCTGCACGACGGGGCTCGAACGCTGCCATGTCCCCGCTTACCTCCATTCACCCTGCCGGGACCCAGGGAGAGACCGGCACTAGCGTGGGGAGCAATGACTGGCTCCAACTCTCAGAGTCTAATGGCCGTCGAGGCAGCAGAGATGAAAGCTCTTACTACCAAGCTGAGACAGCTGCTTTGTCTAGAGAGAATCAGATGCTCAAGGTTCGCATTAGGGAGTTAGGTATGCTATTTCACATCTCATTTTATGCATTAATATACTTGCTAATATCGATCTACAGAGCGACAAGTAGCCGAGTTGACTGCTAATAATAGCCAATCATCGCCACCAGCAACCCAGCCAAGTGAGAGTGCTCAGCCAACTCCTGCCGCGTCTGCTACTACCTCTGCCGCTACAACTGATGCTGCTACTTAGAGCAACCCGCAGACACCAACAGTCCAGGAGGGCGCTGGACCATGAAAAAAAAAAAAAAAAAGTAACACCTTGAGCGAAATTAAAGGTGAAAAGGCGTTCCCGCATTAACTACCACGCATGATACGCGTCTACATAAGCAGCAAGGAGAAATGTGATCCACCCTTAGTACATTGGAATTGCCAATAGTACAACAAAAAGGTTCTAAACGAGACCTGTGAATGGGATCTAAAATAACAAAGCAAAAATACAAAAAAGAGAAAAAAAAAAAAAAAAAAACTGGGGGGAACCACAAGTGAATCATGTAACATTACAGGAATATTTCTTATCTTTTGACCTGTTTTTTTGATGCTGCTGCCACCATGGAAATTGATGATTTGGCCGGAATGGATAGCCGAGAGTGGTCTCAAGACCTTATCGGTACCTTTCCGAGAGAGATATCTGCGTCTTGCAGTTCTCTTCGAAGTTTATGACGCGAGCACATGTATTAAATAGAGACCCCCCAACTCGCACAGCAAGCAAAGGATCCAATGAAGAATTTACTAGTTGAAGCCATGAGAATTACGGTCTATAAGGAATTGGATTGACTAACGGTAGAAAAGACTGCTATGTATGTGCTGTATATAGTGATAAGAAAGATCAAGAATAAAGAGCACCTAAATTGTACAGAAGAGATGATGGCTTATATGTAGCACCCCCTTTTTTTTTCGTGCTGAAGCCTGAACTCCGCGTAGTCTCAGGAAATGCACGAAACAATATAAGTCTAAGTGTATGTATAGGGCCTTATCTACAGCTTGGCCTTTTCGCTCTCCTTGAGAAGATCGGGCATCAACATGTCTCGGACTTCACAGGCAGCTTCGTTAAGGTAGAAGCTCATCCTCTCTGCGCCGATCTTCTTGCAGACGATGTTGAATTGGAGGCTACGAATCATGTTAGTTCATGTATTGGTAGTAAGTATAGCCATTAGGATTAAATACCTGTTCTCGTTGATCATATAGGCGATTCCGAAGCCCTCATCAATGACCTGGCTCCATCCGTATCCGTTGAAGTACTCAGAGCTAAGCTGGCTAGTGCTTAGGAACCAGGAGCCGCTGTAAGCGTATGTGGGATCTTTGAAGAGAGAAGGAACCTCCTCTCCGTCGCGAATGAGCTTCTTCAACCCGAAGAGATGTCTGTCAACTCCCTTTCCAACGCTGGCTTCAGCGGTATACTTGGAATGGGCTGCAACAGCGGCACGGAACAGTTTAACGAGCTCTTCTCTCGACACAGATGGGTCCGCCTGAGCCTTGCAGAAGGCCACACTGTCGTCTGATACGGAACGAGTGGTTTCGGTGCGGCCCAGCTTGTACTTGCGGGTCGAGGCGGATTCGTAGGTAGGTCTGTTCTTGCCGTACATCTTGAAATAGGCGAGCTGAATGAGCATTTGGACGTAGGCGTCTGGGCTGCATTTGAATTTCTTGATGAGACCCTTTCCGTAGGCCTGGAAGGCCTGGACACGAAGCTCATGTTTGTTGATGAGGGCTTCGAAGTCTTTGGTAGCAGTGGAGATGTCCTCAAGGATAGCAGGGTTGAGCTCGAAGTTGATGGGCTGGGGTTCGGGGAGGTTAGAGCGGATAGATGGGTTGGAGTAGTCGAGAGCGTTGCTGAAGATGAGCTGGTTGACGTAGTCGTTGAGACGGTGAGTAGGGGTACCGTCCATCATGGAGTGTTCGCCGAGGAATCCGGCTGTGCCATTCTCGTTGATGACGAAGTTGAGTGGCTTGTCATACCAGCGATTGGCGCCATCTCCGTGCCAGTAGACATGGGCACGCTCCTCAAGGGTGACGGGAGATGCATCGTCGAGACAGACGAAGAACGAGGAGCTCTCGATGGTCTTCAGGGCCTCCTCATTGGCAGGGCTGGCAGCCAGGAGTTTCTTTCGGGCAGCAGTCCAGAAGTCGCGGTTGGCGGAAGTCAGGGCCCCCACGGCAGGAACTCGCTCGGCCTTCTTGATGATGGTTTCGAATTGTTTCTGGAACTCGGAGGTGTTGAGCTGCTGGCCATTGACTGTGGTGGGAACCTTGAACATCTGGTTCTTGCGCATGACAATGATGTGTTCGTTCCCCTTGGCCGGGTACTGCTGCGCGTAATCTTCGCCGTCTGCCGGGATACGGCAGCAATTGAACATGTACTGGTACGAGCTCATGGCCATGGGCTCCTTGCGCAGGTACTCTGGCTCAAGAGATCCATCATCGACCTGTCTCTTGAACTCCAGCACAGAGCTGGTGATGGCAGCGGCTCGCTTAGCTGGGTCCCGTCGTTGTCTGTCGTCCCGGTACGAGTAGAAATAGCTGACATATGGCACAACCGGGTCACGGTAGGCAAGGTAGGCACTCTGATTCCACCATTCGTACAGCCAATTGTCAGTCTTGGGGTCCTCACTTCGAGCAATTAGGCGCTTCTGCAGGACCTCGCCTTCACCACCGGGCTTGATGAAGTCCGATACGGCTTTTTCTGTCGTCTTGTACTCCTCAGCGGAGAGCAGCGGGTGCACCGACTTAAGATACCGCCGTCCAGTCTCCTCCAAGGTGGGCACAGGCAGCTTCGGCAGCGAGTCTTCAAAACGGAGCATCTTCCCCTTTGACAAGTCCTCCTTGTACCCTATCAATGCAATATTAGCCTGGCATCCCTCTCATCCGGCGGAAAATTGTCTGATCTCCCACTCACCTGCTGGTACAGAGGAGGCAGCACGTCGAGGGGCCATTGTTTGCAGAGACTATAGCCAGCATGTTAGACCATCAAGAGTAACTCAAACGGCCCGCTTCTTTGTCTAGAAGTAGACTTGCGGCGGGCCAGACAGCCAGCAAGACCAGGGGGGAATAACTACATACTGTGAGATGGGGAGAGGGGCGGGTCGCGGAAGCACGTCCAAGAGCTGACAGACGGCCTCTTACAGCAGCAGTGAACATTCCCAGGTGATCGAGCGGTCTAGTGGGAAAGATTCAAGTATCAAGGTGAGTCTGCCAGCGGAAGAGCAGAAGAGGCAGAAGAGGAAGAAGAGGCAGAAGTTCGATGGAGCTGAACTCGAGTGTTTTATGAGAAGAGCTGCGACTCTCCCTTCCTTTCATCCTCGGCTCAAGTACTGGGAGGGAGAAAAAGGAATTATGTGCAGGGGAAAACGCGCCTTTGCGCCACGCCAGATGACCAGATAACATGACGACGGCTTTCTGCATCTTCTACCCAACTACGGAGTACAACTACATCGTCTTCAACATCGATTTCACACCCTTTATCGCCGTTACAATCTACTTTTCTTTCCCTCTTTTTTGCTCGACAATAATAATAGTAATAAAATGGCCAACAAACTTGCCGGGTCACCTGACTTTTCGCCGAAAAAAACTTCCGAACCTCGGCTGATTGAAAACCTTATTAGTAATACAATTTTATATACTTCACAAGGAAAAAGGAGGGGAAAAAAAGGAAGAAAGAGACGATGACAACGAGATGTAGAGGAAAATACGGATAGAAAGATAGTAGAAAGTAGCTGGATGATGATGACGACGATGATGATGATGAACTGGTAAACAAGATGATGTCGCTTGCAGAATAACGGATATTGATCAGAAATATGAACAAGTGAAGGAAACAGGCGATATCAGGAAGCGGGTTCCACGGCGGTCGATGTTGATGTTTGAATGGTAGGGGGCTCATCTGCGTCCTTCATAGTCGTGTCGGGGTCTCGGTTGGAAGAGAGGTGCAGCTCGACGCCCTTGCGGCCCTTGAGACCAGCGGGAGTGCAGATACGGCCGGTTCGCATCATGTTTCGCAACCTCTTACGACGGGCCTCTCCTCCCCTTTCCTCGCCCTTGGATGCACCCTCGTCCACCCAGGAGATCTCTTCTACCTTGAAGCTCATTCCGTCATGGTTTTTGCCCCAGGAACGCGACTTCAGGCCGTACATCACACTACTCTCATAACGTTCCAACGTGGGAAGAATCAGAAGCTTGATATGAAGGTCCTTGTCTGGCGGCGGTATCGGGGGAAGCTGCTTGCCTTCGACTGAGTCGGCAGCTGTAGGCGGCGGTTGGGGGGCCTCTGATTGAGCAGTTGAGGTTGGGTCGGATCTAGTGCTATTGCTATGAACAGATGGAGTTCTGTTGGAGGATGGCGTTGTCTTTCCATTGGCTGCCGTGCCATTGACATTAGCAGTAACAGTTGTGGAGGAAGACTTGCGGTTGTCTTTCAGCTCGAGGTTCAACATTGACACATCGACATCTTCAGCCCACTCGCCTCGAATGAATCCCGAATGGATGGCTGCTGCCACCGGGTCAGAGTCGTCTGTGTACACACCGGTTCCCCATAAGGCGCGGCGTGCACAGATTTCTTCACGATGGCTTGCGTCTATCCGAAATCGAGGTACACGGATCGTGAAAGTGCAGTTTTCCTTCCCATCGAACCGTGGGATCGGTACGGGAGTAGAGGTATATCCAAATTTGGACGCTTCGGGTGGTGCTCGGGAAGATGGCATTTCAATGCGTGGAGCATAGAGCGTAGAGCCTAGATGGTAGCGAGGAAGATGTGCAACACTTCTCAACAGTGGTTCCAGGTTCACTGTGGTGTTGTACTCCTTGAGAGGCACGGCAGGAGGAGTTGGATGGTGGTGATGCGGGATACCACTGCCAGGAACTGTCGCTCTTGGGCCATGGTGATGGTGATGGTGGTGATGGTGGTGGTGTGAGGCACCAACAGCTCCAGATACAGTAGGGCCATCTCCAGTGCGCGACTGAGGTCTAAAAGGGGCTGCCAGCTGCGGGCCTTGGCCTCCTGTAAAGAGAGACGGGTCGTCGTCTGCCCGGTGTCTATGATGGTGACTAGTGGCATAGGTTAGCAACAAATACCAATTGAATTTCATATCTTGGCTAAGCAACACTTACTGATGGCCGCCGTGATGATGATGGTGGTGGTGTACATGCCGTCCTCTTCTTGCAACTCCTCCACGGGCTGCCGCCCCAATGCCCTCTCCGTCTTCCCTGGTTTCCTCCTCCTTCACTTTTCGACCGCGCCTGACGCTTCCTGGCGCAGAAGCTGTACCTTTTCCGGCACCGAACGAGCCCTCTCCATTAAGATCTGAATTCATCGGTCGATCGCCATGGTTTCTCTTGAACGGACTTGATGATAACGGTGTTGAAGGGCCGCTTCCCCCCAGTGATGCCGAGCTGGATACTCCAACGCCGCTGCCGATACCAGAGAACACTCGACCCAGTTCGCTTTTTATGCCTGATTCGGTGGCCGGGTCGATGATCTGGGCTTGGGCGCCTTGTACTGCCTGTGGAAGCGGAGATGCCCTACCACCCCGTTTCGCCTCTGCATTTATATTCAGCACATTTTTATGATGAGGGGGTTCCTCCGTGCCTCCGCGAGCTCGCCCTTCATCCGCAAACGAGCCACCGAACGATGATTGGGGACCAGTAGAACCTGGTGTAGGTGAAAACATGCGCGGTGGATTCGATGGTGGAGGTCGACTCCGGCTCATAATCGGCGACGAATCGCTCGAGGGTGTTGCGTCTTGGCGTGAAGATATGGGGGGTTGACCGGGAATGGAGCGTGGAGCCGTTAATTGAGAACCTAGAGACTTTGTGTAGTTCTGAATAGACCCAAAACCGTAGCCGGAAGCGGGCTCTGCGGTGCTATAGCGGGTTGATTCAGGAGAAACGCGAGGGTAGTTCGATTCCCAAGATGAGCGGTGAGATCGATCGCTTTCGTGTTCTGGGGCATGAGATCCATATCGTTGTGATTGGTGTTGGTGAGGCTGAGATTGAGACTGTGAACTTTGGCTGTGATGGTGGTGGTGGTGGTGGTGATGATTGTGTTCCTGGATACCATGTTGATAGGGTTGCTGGTCTCGAGGTTCCTGTCGATCTTGGGAGGGATTACTAAACCTAGATGACGGTCGCGGAGGGGGTTCTAAACTACCCGGGTACCCATGCTGCTCCCGTTGGCCACTTGTCTCCTTCTGCACCCCATCTGAAAATCCAGGCGCCAATCTGACTGGGGGGCTGAACAACGGTGGTCGCGATGGTGGCTCCTCTGATCGGTGATGGGGTCCCGGAGGGTTGGCTCGTGGCACAGGGCCTCCAAGACTCATCCGTCGGTCTTGGTGATATGATGAATCCGAGTATGTATTTCGGGGGGATCGAGGAGCTGTAAGCTGTGGTTGGGGTGCGTTGGATGGCTGTCGAGGTCCAGAAAACCGTGAATCATCGGGTGCTAGCTGGGGATTCCCGGATGAACTGCCTCCGGATCTTGACCGGTAAGGCCGGGGAGTGAGCGTTTTCGAGAATGGACCGCTGTCCGGCGTATGTGATCTTCGGAAAGGAGGATAATCTGACGGCAACTGTCGACTAGGACCGGAAGGTGGTGACATAGAGGGTGGTAGCGAAGTAGACTGTTGTGCCGGCGCGGTGGAAGCTGATACCGTAGGCCGCGAATAGACCGCGCTCGTACTCTCCCGCGGCTGACGGTCTGTATCTGAACCTAGCATTGACGATATTGACATGCTACTTCCCGGCCGGTGTACTGGGTTAATGAGTTCTCGAGAGGCAAAGGATGGTGGTATTGAAGGTGGCTGAGAGGGTTGGGCGGCTGATCCCCTAGGGTAGTGCTGTGGTGAGGATGGAGGAAGCATCTGACGGCTAGAATAAGAGCTTGCGGCGGTGTGTTGTTCCGGATGGCCTGGGTAAAGAAGCGGATTAGCTGCCTGGCGTCATCCCCAAAATCCCCCCAAATAGTAACTGGTCTCTCAACATATATAACGACAGACCACATCCAGGGGTAGAACTGCAAGTTCGGGGCCAATGAATATATGCGACGACTCCCCGTGGACGCAGAAGCGCGGTGCGGGTATTTCTTCTTCCTCGTCTGGTTGTCTTTCGCTGGAGAGAGGCGATTTTTTAGTCGCGTTCGGGTTTCAGTCTTACCTGAATAAGCAGACGAGCTGCCAGCACTGCCCACTGATCTCCTGCGAGCCTGATCGTGTTGCTGCGGCGGATGAGGCATCTCTCGTGGGATTGACGACGAACCTGGCACGCGGCGAAACCATCAGCGAAAAAAAGTCGTGTCAGTTCTTTCGTGCTTTCGACTTGCGACTCCGTCGAGCGGAAGGGAAAAAACAACTTTGGGGAAAGGAAAAGTCCGAGTCACGGGACCAGCGCTAAAAGATGCCAAGCATTTATGCGCCTGAAGCAGACTAGCGAGCTTAAACCTTAAGTGGCCTAGCGCTGTCGGCACGGACCATCGGGGGGGAGAGCCGTGCCAAGACTTAGAAAGGGGGAAAGAACGAATGGCGGAGTGTGCAAAAACAAGCAAAGAAAGGAAGGAACAGGAAGGGGCGGAGGGCGGTAAGCAACATGGAAGAGAGAGAACGAGGAAGGAGCGGAGAGCGGGGGCAGCTTCATCTCCACCGCTCTCCGCTCTCCGCTGGCAGAAAAAGAGCATTTCCGCCGCCGGGCGTTTTGTCGCTTGTTATTCTTGTCGTTCCAGTGCTAGGAGTGCAAGAAGAAACCCAGCAGCGATGGCCTTGCCTGCAATGCAATGCACATCAAGGTAGCCGCCGTCTCGGGAACAGGCCAGAGGAAGAAAACTCTATGTTAAACGCAGAGGGACAGATGGCATAGAATAGAACTAAAAAAAAGAATGAAACGCAGCAAGATATGGATTGCCTTACCTTCTCCACGTACGCTCACCCCGTTAGGCGGTCCTTTTGGCTCCTCCACTTCAAGCTTACCAGCCGCCTGCTCACGCGTTGGGGCGTCAGGTCTTGGACGTGGCGCATGTTGCTGCTGCTGGAGATGGTGCTGATGTTGATGCTGATGCTGATGTTGATGCTGATACTGGTGCTGCGTATGTGAATGTGGGTTATTGTCTTGTGAGTACGGGTATGCCAGCGCGGTTGGAGGCGGTGCAGGGCGTGAGAAGTGACTGCCTGATTCTCGCCGTGAGCTCGCTATCGGGTCGAAATGCGGCTGTTGGGCATGGCTCGCTGGAATAGAGGAAGGCGGATAGTGTCGAGATGGAAGAGACGAGCTGTGGGCTTCTCGAGGCCTACCGTACGTCGAATGTCGAAGGCCATACGCTGACTGTGACGGATCCATTGGGAAACCAGGGAGTTGTATATGTTCTTGAGCGTGTTTTCCAACTAACGCCGCTTCAGGTCGAAAGATTTTCAGCGCAGTTTGTAAGGACTGCTTTTCTTTTTTCCCTTCTGCCTCCCCTTCTCCTTTCTTTTTCCTCCTATTAAATTCCTTCTCTTCTTCTGCCTTCTTTTCTTTTCTTTTCTTCTCGTTTTTATTTCTTTTTGTTCTTGCTCTTTATTTTCTTACTTACTCCATATCCTCTTCGACTTTTCCCTTAGCTTGCGATTCCGTTTGTTTATTTACTCGCGCGCAACATCGGGGATTCAGGTCCTCGTTTGGGTTTTGCTTGCGGACTTCGAACCGTCCGTGTGGTTTGTAACTCAGCTCTTGTTGCAGATTTGCACTAGGCCGTTGGGCCGGTCAAAGAAAATGGAAGTACGGAGTAAAATTCGGAGTATGGCGCGAAAGATAGATGGTTTCTGGAGTGGACGACGAGAAAGGGAGGGTAAAAAAAAATGAAGAGTGCGGAGGTTACACACCAGCAGATGCAAGCCGCGGCTGGCAAACTTGTCACTGCTCCCTGGTGGAGTTAGCGATGCGGCAGGGAGCCCACCGCATATTAGCCTTAGCCTATAGTTAGCTATATGCTTGTGCAGGTATCCCGACAACGAATATACTCTGTGATGTCCTCCACTGTGGTGTAGTTGGCAGCCTCCCCGTGACCAGAGGAATCAAATAGCAAGTCAAAACCTCAACAAGCTACTCCGTGCTCAGTGTGGCATAAATACGCCAGAAGGTTCCTACGACCCGTTCACCCTGGTAGCTAGTATCGCCCGGTGGCCGTCTTGGACTCCTGCTTTAGGTGTATTGCTCCACGCTTGTATCAGGAACTTGCCGCACAGAGAAAAGGAACCGAGATCGAAGAGTGGCACCAAAGGACGCTCAAGCTGTCAAGCTCTCTGCTGACAACGGCCAAACAGGCAGAAAGAAATCATTTTCGAACAAAGCTGGGGACTCTCGAGCCAATGGTTTCTTTTCCTCGTTTGTTGCGTTGTCGAGAGCCGGTTGTGGAGCCTGAGCACATCGCCGAAGGACGCTAAATTTAACTAAACGGGTAACCTAGCTTGATCCCTGTCGAATGTTCGTTTCGTATAGGTTCGATAAAGACCCAGCCAGACATGGGCCTGACGCCCCGGTCAGCTTATGCCAGCGACATCATGTATCACCGCATTCCTGCGCGGTGCAATGGGGGTCGGATGGCCTGCTGATGCCCGAGCTGGTGCCGAGCCAACTGATTCGCTCCATTATTCGACCTGTTCCAGGGGACGCACACACTTGCATCAAATCCGCGACATGGAACAAGGTGGGATTAATCTTTATAGCATTGCAGGGCCACCGGATTTAGCCTTTTCTTTCTTTCTTTTCTCTTCTTTTCTTTTTCTTTTTCCTCTTTTTTTTTTTTTTTTTTTTACTTTTCGATCCCAGAATAGGTCGATGCACCTGCAGATCGCCTGAGAGCTGTTTTTGATGCACGAGCACTAGAGTGATGCGATCCAACAATATATAAATAAACATACACCATACGGAGTATAGGATGTATGTATATATAGATGCAGCGACGGCCCTGCTAATGGAGCATGTGCTTGGTATTTTGAATGATAGGGAGCAGGTTGGGTCGTAGTCGTTTACTCCGTACGATTCCTAGCAACAGACCTTGTGTCGATGCAAGGAACCCTTGGATCGTTGCGGAACGTTGGAGAACCGGACTGCGCGCCGGAGGCGAGGGTGACCGCATGCTGGCATCCCTTGCCCTGTACTCCCATACATCTGCCCTGCGTTCACACTCGCCACGACATCAGCAACACAAGGATGAACCGAGTCTCCCTGTCCCCGTAGTCTAGTGATGCGGAGATAAATAGCGATACGTTCCCCCGCCGGCTGAACTCTCTTGCCCCGGTCGTCTCCTATTTCATCAGGACCTTTGGCGTGCTGCTTCATATCAACTACGAGGCCCGTCCTCCTCTTCATCGCTATTCTTGCCAGTTTGTTACACACACCAGTGGCAAGCTGCATAGTGTTGCAGCAATATCTTGCTGATGTATGATCTCTCTCCATCGGCTAAATTACGCTTAGCTTGATGAACCTTCTACACTGTGCACACGTCTTACCGCAATTTCATCTCTCCCTTGAGTGCGGTGACGCGATATCAATGCCTAAAGCGTGGCATTAGCAACACTTATATCCATGACATCCATAGAGTAACTCATTCCGAGCAGCCGCCTTCGAAGCGTGGTAAAAGCCGAGTATAGCACCATGGCCGAGAAACTCTTTCTTTTATTCCTATAAGGTCTATTCCTATCAATTCTAGTCAACATTATAGTAACAATATGTACCGCCAGGGGTGTGTCTGTACCTGAAGGCTCCCCTAGCGCATTCCACCGCGTTGCGTGGACAGCATCATGACGCCCGATTCCACAGCATGGGTTGTTGACGTTTGACAGCATCACGGGAGACAACATATTGAGCTCCCTATGGAGCTGTCATCTCACTTTCAGTTGCCGTTGCTCTCTGTTGCTGCATGTAGTTGGTGTTGTCGTTGTCGTTGTTGATACGTTAAGATTTAGTTTTCGGGCCTCTGACGTCCCGTCCGCGCCTCACATGATCACTTGCCGACTTCAACCTCAACTTCGACTTCAGCAGCAAAACCGACGACAAACCAGGTGAGATGACGAGAAGGCGAGAAAAGGAAGCAGAAGACGAGGAGCAGCTGTTTTTATTCGAATAATCTGATACTCTGCAGACGCTGGAGCCGCTGATGCTACCTCTGCCATGCGCCCCGGACTCCAGCTGGAGCAGGTTCCGGCAGCAGCTCGCCGCTGTCTTCAACGGCGTTGACCCTCGAGTCTTCACGGCCTTTTGGCTATTCGGTAAGAATAAATGTGGTGTTGCTTCTTTCATGGAACGTTATCTCTAACCGCTCGTCAATACTGCAGGCTTAATAAATAATGTTCTCTATGTTATCATTCTCTCTGCGGCACTCGATCTCGTCGGGCCCAGCGTCCCTAAGGGCGTTGTTCTGCTCGCAGACGTGGTCCCGTCCTTCTTCACCAAGCTATGCGCTCCATATTTCATCCATATTGTCCCTTATCCCATCCGCATCCTCATATTCGTCGCATTATCCACGCTCGGCATGTTTCTGGTTGCCTTGTCGCCAGCCTATGACGCAACTACTGCCAATAGTTCGATAACAGCCAAGATGGTGGGAGTGATGCTGGCAAGCCTCTCTAGTGGTGGCGGAGAACTCAGCTTTCTCGGTCTTACACATTTTTTTGGACCGTTTAGTTTGGCTGCATGGGGTAGCGGAACGGGCGCTGCTGGATTGGTGGGAGCCGGTGCCTATGCTTTGGCTACTACATCATTCGGCTTTTCTGTCAAGACCACGCTCCTGGCTTCCGCTCTTTTACCAGCAGTGATGGTGATAAGCTTCTTCGGTATACTGCCAAGGGGCCCCATGTTGCAGATCAGGAATGGGTATCAGACTATTCAAGAAGTAGAGCGAGGAGAGCTTAGGCGAGATGATGTTCGGCGGCCGCTGGATGATGAGCGTTCGTCGCATACTAATGATGGGAGCGATGGCTTACTTGCAGACACTGACAATGTTGATGACTTGAAACATGCACCTCCGCAGGATAAAGGCCTATCATGGCAGCTTTTCAAGGCGAACCTGAACCGTGCTAAGAGTCTATTCTTTCCATTGTAAGTCCAACCGCCCAGTTTTTCGGTACTACCTACTAACGAAGCGCCACAGTATGTTTCCTCTGCTGCTTGTCTACATTGCAGAGTATACCATCAACCAAGGCGTCGCGCCTACACTCCTCTTCCCACTCCAGGAAAGTCCTTTTAAGCACTTCCGTGCCTTCTATCCAACATATAACGCCATCTATCAGGTCGGAGTGTTCATCTCGCGGTCCTCAACCCCCTTCTTCCGCATCCACGACCTGTACTTACCATCATTTCTCCAAGTATTCAATCTCGGTCTACTGACCCTGCATGCACTGTTCAATTTTATCCCAAACGTCTACATTGTCTTCCTCATTGTTTTTTGGGAGGGTCTCCTAGGCGGATTGGTATACGTCAATACGTTCGCGGAGATCACCGATCGCGTACCAAAGGAGGAACGAGAATTTTCTTTGGGGGCAACCACCGTCAGTGACTCGGCAGGCATTTGCATTGCAGGTATGTTGAGTATGGTTTTTGAAGTCTGGTTATGTAACTGGCAGGTTTCCCATGGGCGAGATTATTGCAAGAAGACATAGACTTTGGCGTCTATTTTACCTTTTTCGCAGAAGGCCTTTGGAGGTGTTTGGCTTAGCGACGGCGTCAGCGATATATATATATATATTTGGAACCTATTTCTATATGACAATCTCATATTTAATACTGCATTACTAAATATATTTACAATAAATTGGGATATTTTATCCCCCATTTTGATAATTTGTGATGGTGATGTGACGTCATGTTCGATATCACATGTCCGGAAGCTTTCACATGCGCGAGCATGTGAAATCCTTCGACTTTATGACAAAAGAATCGCATTTCAAAGGATTTTGCGCCCAAGATGGAAAACTTGAGGCTGAAGTCGAACCGGCTGCTATTCTGGAGTTGGTGCGGGTAAGGGAAAGCTGGAAACATTTCATATTACTTAATTCTATTGTCTTTGTTCAGTCTCTCTGCTTCCACGGCCGGTGATGCTTCATTCCCGGAGACTTCGGATTCAAACTACGGTCCTTCATTGTCGGTATAACTTTACTTTTGGATATATTACCTCTGGTTTTGATGGTTTGTAGAGGTATGTTGAAGTCATGATAGGTATGTACCCCTTTGTTTTATTCTGTGAACGCTATCAGTATCTAATTCTCCTTAGACCATGTACTAGGCAGGCCTTCCACTCAGTTCCGAAAGATCCAGGTCTTTGCAGTCGTTGCCTTTTGGCTATTATACCTTCTAAAGTATGTTGAATGACCATGGAGTCCAGTTTTTCCTACAAGATCCGTATCTGATTGTACCTCTATTATACCAGGGGAAACAAGAATGGTCCTCCAGGGGTACGAACTCTATCGTCGCTGCTGCATCGGCGTATGACACCATGGCAGGCCACCGTCATGACCATGTTAACGCTATATGTCTCTCGCAACTTTGCCAAACTGGTCGGTTTGGAGTCCCCAGAGCCCCTTGCGAATCTGTACTCTCGTTCCTACTTTCGGGCAACCTGGATAGTCACTGCGCTGGATGCTGGGTTTTGGACTGCAATGAACATACGCCGGAAATGGCTAAGGGATCTGGCATCGCTAGTCTTTTCTATATACTACCTTTTCGCAGCTGAACAGGCGGATGAGAAGGTGCGAAAAGTCAGAGCTACTTTGACCGTAGAGCATCTGCGTGTCTCATGGAATAAGCTGGCTACCCCTTACCTCTCATTTCTCTCAAGGCTTCTTCGGCCCCGTTTCTGTCGGCGCGATCCAGTTGCCATCCGGATACCACGACCCCGGGAGTCATCATACAAGGACCCGGTTGACGCATGGCTTTATTTTGATGGCCCTCTTAGCAGCCTTCGGGACCAGACGGATATCGTCCTTGATATCCCTGGAGGCGGATTCGTTGCCATGGGCCCACGGGTCAGTGATGACCGCTTACTTGCTTGGGCTGGCAAGACGGGTGTTCCAATTCTCAGTCTTGATTACAAAAAGGCACCCGAATACCCATATCCATATGCTCTGAATGAGTGTTACGATGTATATCACACTATTGTGATGAGTCGAGGGAGATGCCTAGGACTGAGTGGGAAGACATGCCCACGGATTATTGTGACGGGTGATAGCGCTGGTGGAAGTCTTGCAGCAGGGCTGACTTTGATGATTCTTCAATCCGGCAGTACAGACTCCCGGAAGTGGAGAGGTGAATATTGCCTGCCGGTTCCCGTGGGCCTTGTGCTGGTGTACCCGAATCTAGACTTGAATATTGGAAGCTGGATGACAGACGAGGAGTTATCTTTGATCAGAGAAAGGGGAATGCGGAAAACAAATCGAAATATTCTGAGGCGTAAGAGTGAGGATTACTATAAACTGACTCCGTCGACTCCACGTCCCTCAGACGATGACCTTGCAGACGATACTACTAGTCATTCCAAGTCGTCCACAAAAGAAGGATCGAAACATATATCTGATGTCCCCGTGGGGTCTTCCACTGTTGCGACTGACATGGCCTGTCAATCTGGAGATGCAAGCCTTGCATCCAAAATGGAAGGGTTAGCTGAAAAGAAACCAAAGAAACTGCAGACTCGACTTGCCGTTACTTCTATGATATCCTATGTCAATGATCGCATCCTCACCCCTGAGATGATGAGGGCTATGATAATACTATACATTGGTCCCTATAATCGTCCAGACTTCAGCACAGATTTCCTTCTCTCTCCCATGCTTGCTCCAGAGGCTCTTCTAGCCCAATTTCCGAAGACCTACTTTATGACAGGGGAACGGGACCCGCTGGTAGACGATACAGTGATATTCGCTGGGCGTCTTAGACAAGCTAAACTTCATCGGTTCCGTGAACGGAAGGAATTAGGTCTTGAGAAGCCTGGAAAGAGGTTTGACGAAAAAGAGCATGTTGAAGTGACTTTGATACCTGGGATATCTCACGGATTCATGAGTATAGTTGGGGTTTTTCCTGAGGGCTGGAAGCATGTATTCAGGACTGCCAGGTGGGTAACGGATATTTTCAATTCCACTGATCCTTCTAGCTCTGATGAGGCGAGAGAATTTAAGGCCTCTCTCCCACAGCAGCGACGAGTCATGCCCAGTCTCAACCCATCACTACCAACGGTAGACGTCGAGACAGGGAAACAGAGCGATGGAAGCACACGGCACCGTCATCACGAACGCCACTTAACAAGTGAATCATCTGGTGATGAAGACGGGCCATTGGAAATTAGCATGTTGAAAATGACCAAGATATCCCCTTCGCCTCCAGCGTCACAGTCTAATTTCGGAGCCTCGGCCACTTCACCACTGAAACTGAAAGCTCCTGCGCCAAAACGAAATATACGGCGACCGAATGCTGCAAAATTATCTCTTACCCCCCTCCCAGCCAAGAAGGAGGAAATCCTGCGTAGTTCGGACGATGTAAGCCACAGTGAGAATGACTTGGTGCGGATGAGACAGATGATATCAGGGTTACGACGTGAAGCAAGTTTGACGAGTTTGCCGAGCCATGAAGATTTACTGAATAGACGGATGGACGGGTTGGCTGGCGGGCTTATGGGTATAGGAGAAGAAGCAAAGACTCCGTGATTATTCGTGATTTTTATTTTTATGTACATATTTCTTCCATGTCGATGATACCTATAGATGGCCTTTGATGATTAGGTTATTTTGCAATTGATGGGGACATAGATTGATATAGCAAGGGTTGCTCTTATAAATTGACATATATCTAAGTATTCCGATGATCTAACTAAACAAGTGCGAAGGGGAGCATGAAATTTGAAAAAGTACAGAATAACTACCGATGGCCCATCCGCGGAAATATAGTGACGCTACGCCTTGTTTACAACCTCACTCATTGCTTCGTCCAAGATGCCCAGCCCAACCTCAATCTCCGCGTCGGTGATGACTAGCGGCGGAACAAAACGAATACAGCCTTCTCCAGCAGATATAATGAGCAGCCCCTTATCTCTTGCAGACCCAAGGATATCGGAAACCTTGCTGATATAGGGAGCGGTAAGTTGCAAGCCAAGTATTAAACCTCGACCTCGAATCTCAGATACAGCATCGGGATACCGCTCCTGAAGCCGTTTCAGCCCCTTAATGAGGGTTTGGGATCTAGAGTTAACAGAATCCTGGAGATCCTTGTTTGCCAGACGGGTCAATACATGGTTACCCACGGCACAGGCAAGTGGACTCCCGCCAAAAGTAGTTCCGTGGTCCCCAACCTTGATATATTTCCCTACTGTATCAGAGGAAATGATCGTGGCACCGATGGGGAAACCGTTCCCAAGTGCCTTGGCGGTGGTGAGAATGTCTGGGTGAGCAGGCTTGGAGCCATCCTTTGGCCTAAGTGAAGGGTGAGCGTGTGCCCAGAGGCTGCCTGTGCGAGAGAGGCCACATTGGATCTCGTCGAAGATCAGCACCGCTCCGACTTGGTCGCATCTTGCACGGAGTGCTGTAAGGAATTCCGCGGAGGCAACGTTCACTCCGCCTTCGCCCTGGATAGGTTCGACGATGACGCCGCACGTCTTGTCCGTGATTAGGGTTGGGAGCTGTTCAATGTCGTTGTATTTTCCATACTTGAATCCGGGGACCATGGGAGCGAAAGGAGCCTGGTATTTGGGGTTTGGAGTAGCAGATAAAGCACCAAAGGTTCGGCCGTGGAAGGATCCCTGGAAGGAGACTATTTCATGTTTCGCGCCTGTAGTGTCGAGGCTATGGCCTACCTTCCGAGCAAATTTGAGAGCTGCTTCGTTGGCTTCGGTTCCAGAATTGCAAATGAACGCTTGGGTGGCAGTCCGCATTGCACCTGAGGTCAGAGTAGTGCTGACAAGTGCCTGGCTCAATTTACCGGTGTGCTTATTGTGAAAGAGGTTGGATGCATGTATCAGTATCTCAGACTAGCTTTGCAATCAGTCTCATGTCCCCTCGTATGATTCATATACTCCAATAGGGCGTTCTATTCACCTGCTCTGATAGGACCTGTGACAATCCTGGGTCTGAATGGCCGAGAGATGTCACCGCAATGCCGGCTGTGAAGTCGAGATACTGCTTATTCTCCATGTCCCATAGGTAACAACCACTTCCCCTGGCCATCACCGGCGTTGGTCGAGCGTATGTAGGCACCATAAACGGCATGATCCCTTCGATGAAGCGGTCACTCCGCTTGGACAGGTTGCCTGGCAGGTCGTCATGTTCCTGCTCATACCAGTCAGTACTCCATATATCAACCACCAGAGCAGCCGCAGGGCAGAATACAACTCACTATCCGGGTCACTGTGCTGGAAGGCTTGCTCTTGAAAGGGTCCACCACCTCCGGACTCGAAGCTGTCGAAGCCCACCGCCGTCGCGACAGGGGGCTGGCCCCATGCTGCAGAGCTCTAGCTCCTCCTGCCCGTCGCAGCGCTGCTCGAGAGGCCATCGCACCGTCAACCCGCACAATTCGCCTGTACTGTATAGAAGCTGCCTAGGACAGCCTGGAGACAAGACGAAAACCACCAGGCGAACGCAATTCTGCTATTTTGCCTGTCAAGAATGCGAGTTGGTTCTTCTATAAATTTGGAGCTGGAGATGACTCGGAAAAACAAGAGATCCCGATTTCGGCGATTCTCGCAATTTTGCTCCATTCGCAGCTTTCACCGGCAACACAACCAACAACGATATTATACCACGACCACGCAGAGACTACCGGCAGTGCTAGAACCATGGCCGGCGTTGCGAGATACCGTCTTCCCTCGGTGTTAAGAGCTATATATACTCCCAAGCCGGCTGCACGAAGCTTCACAGTCTCCGCCGCGCGGTCCTCTAAACACAGCCGCTTCGCTCCCACACCGTCACCTCCTCGCCTGGCCCCCGAAGAACAAGAGATATTCGAAAATTTGCAGCAGCAGTCCACCGGAGCGTTCAGTACACCGCGATCAACGCCTCGGATAAATCAGTCTCCCCAGTCTCGGCCAGAAGAGGTGCTCCAGAGCTCAGCAGACGAAGAGCTACATCCAGATCTCCGCCGGGGTGCAAAGCCGGAGTTCGAGGGAGACAAGAATCCAAAGACTGGAGAAATTGGAGGGCCGAAGAATGAGCCGCTGAGATGGGGCGGGAGCGGAGACTGGAGTTATAACGGCAGGGTTACGGATTTTTGATAGAGATTCAGAAGTCTGGCACTGGGGGGGGGAGCCGGCGGTGGTGAAACTCGATACTACCGCCATGTAAATTATTGCGTACTCGAGTCGGAATGGGAAGATGAATAGACTGCATACACTGCAATGGGAATCATCTGTTCTTAACTATATACAATCTGCTGGCCCAGGACATCATCCGTGAATCATGAAGGGGACTTTAAGTTATGAAAGCGAGGACAAGGACATTTTTCATCGAACAAAGTGGTGGATGGGGTGAGATTATGATGACTGGGGCTTGCAACATTACATAAATAAATAAATCATCTATCCTTGAAGCCTGCTGACGGTTGCCTTCCCGGCTCGGCTATCGTTCTCACGACCAAGCTCAGCACTGATCCAAGCTCCAATCTTTGCTACTGCCTCGAGGCTAACGCCAGTCTTCATTCCAAGGCTGTGTATGGTATGGATCAGATCTTCCGTTGAGACGTTTCCGGTAGCACCCTTAGAGTACGGGCACCCTCCTAGGCCGCCAACACTGCTGTCAAATGTCCGTATGCCGTGCTCCAGGCCGACAATGGTGTTTACCAGAGCCTGGCCGTAGGTATCGTGGAAATGCAATGCGAGGTCATTGGTGGCAATCCCAGCAGCAGAGAGAGTCCTCAGTAGCTGCTGTGTCCTTGGAGCGGTTCCCATGCCTGTCGTGTCGGCCACGGAGACTTCGTCGGCACCCATCTCCAGCAACGAGGCAGTGATCTCAGCGACCTTGTGCGGGTCTACATCCGGTCCTTCATATGGACACCCAAGCGCAACAGAGACATAGCCTCGTACGCGGATATTCTTCTCCTTTGCCAGCGAGACTATCGGGCCAATTCGGGCGAGAGACTCTTCTATTGTGCAATTGGTGTTGGCCTTGGAGAAGGCTTCGGTGGCAGCGGCAAAGAGGGATATCTCGGGCAGCTCCGTTGGACGGGCTTGCTCTGGCAGGGCGGCTGTCTCTTTCTCGAGCACTTTAACCAGTGTTTCGAGGCCCTTCACGTTGGGGACCAGGTAGTTGTATGAGATCGGGTGGGGGGCGGAGGGCGGGGTTTTGGTGAGATGTGATAGAATGTCAGCTGTGCTGGCCATCTAGCAAAGCAAATTGGATACATTCCACCATTAGCCGGCCTGTTTCTAGTAGATCCATCGGGAAGTAGATATAGCACGCGAGCATAAGACTCACCTGGGGCACCCATTTCGCGGGCACAAACGAGCCGGCCTCGATGGTCTGGAGGCCGGTCCCAGCAAGCCTGGAGATCAGCTCCAGCTTCGTCTCAAGCGGAATGGACTTCTTTTCGTTCTGCAGGCCATCTCTGGGGCTAACCTCGACGATGCGAACGAAATCGGGAGCAAGTTTGGCTTCGGTAGCCAGAGACCGCACTGCACCGCGACGACAGGCCAGGTGGGATGCTCTGGAGGCAGCTCTGAGTCCGAACATGGTCACTCTCCCTATGCGCATTAGTCTCCGGTAAACAATGCAGAGTAGCGGTGCTTTGCTTCTGGCTGTCGGTCTGAACTGTCTGCTCGTCTGCTGCTCGTCTGCTTTCTTTTCTTCTTCCGCCTCGCCGGCGCTCGCGGCCGTCGACTTCGGCTATTTTGCTCCGATGTTGAAAAACAGACGGGATTAGTAAAATATGACTAATGAGTTGACTCAGCATTGACTCAGCCGCTGATAGAGGGGAGATAAGAGAAAAAGCTGAAGACGACGAGGAAGAAGAAGAAGAAGAAGAAGCAGAAGAACGAGAGAGAGAGAGAGTGAGTGAGTGAGTGAAGTCGTTAAAAAGGGGCTGAGATGGCAGATAATAAGGATGGAAATGATGCGCCGGCTGTGCCGCAGACAAACGGAACAAGGGTGCCGAAGAAGCGGTTTGTAGGGCGGAAGACTGCAGAGGCACAGGCGCAGAGGACTGGAGGGGAGGATGTCGAGCAGTCGCACACCACAGCTATACAAACAGGTATGAGAGCTGGTTGGAAGACTGGTTACCGCGACTGCGGTGCATTACGTTGAAACTGACAGTTGATGATTTTGTAGCATCTACAAGACGAGGCCCGCGAGCGCTGAACCAGATCCCCGCTGCGATCCTCGAAGATGAAGATATCAAAGCGGCCATCTCCCTCCTACCACACAACTACTCCTTTGAAATACCCAAGACTATACACAGGATACGCTCGTCAGGGGCCAAGCGAGTGGCCCTCCAGTTTCCGGAGGGCTTGCTGCTCTTCGCCACTACAATTTCAGACATCCTGAACCAGTTCTGCCCCGGCATTGAGACGGTTATCATGGGAGATGTGACATACGGCGCATGCTGTATAGATGATTACACTGCTCGAGCACTGGGCTGTGACTTGCTGGTGCATTATGCGCATTCGTGTCTTATACCCGTGGACGTCACCAAGATAAAAACGCTATATATCTTCGTTGACATCGGCATAGACACGCCGCATCTGATCGACACTCTGAAACGCAACTTCACCTCAGGCCAGCGCATAGCGGTGGTAGGCACAATACAGTTCAACGCTACACTACATGGGTTGAAACCTGTGCTGGAGAAGGAAGGGTTCAACATCACCGTGCCCCAGATAATGCCCCTGAGCAAAGGGGAGATTCTAGGTTGCACATCCCCTCGCATGTCCAGCGAGGCAGTAGATCTACTTCTGTACCTGGGCGATGGACGCTTCCATCTTGAATCGGCCATGATTCATAACCCGAGCATACCAGCGTACAGATATGATCCTTACTCCCGCACCCTGACCAGAGAACGGTATGACCATGAAGAAATGCAAGATCTGCGTCGAAAGGCGATAGACGTCGCCAAATCAGCGAAGCGATGGGGTATCATACTGGGCAGCTTGGGGCGTCAGGGGAATCCAAATACCATGAAGATGATTGAGGAGCATCTTAATGAGAAGGGCATACCCTATGTGAATTTGCTGTTGAGTGAGATTTTTCCGGGGAAGTTGGCGAGTATGCCAGATGTTGACTGCTGGGTGCAAATTGCTTGTCCCAGGCTGAGTATCGATTGGGGGTATGCATTTCCGAAACCCCTACTAACACCGTACGAGGCGCTTATTGCCTTGGGTATCAAAGAGGACTGGAATAAGGCGAATGGTGGTATATACCCGATGGACTTTTATGCAAAGGAGGGTTTGGGCAGGATAAAACCTGGCACGACTGTTGCGTCGTTGGCAGGATAGTAGCCAGATATTTTATGACAATGGCACTAAATATGAAAAAGAGAATAAAAATTTATAAAATTGGATAGATTCAAACAGGGTAGATAATGATGTGCACGTAGTAGACAAAAAAGTAGAAACTCTCTCAATCATCTGCATCGTTAGAATCCACTGGAGTTCCTCTCTTCAAAGCTAGAAAGGCTTTCCCACCCGCGTCATCCATAGGGCGTTCAGCAGAGCGCCAGGTGGAAATTGCCTTTTCGACATCCTCGTACATCTCCAGCGTGTCATTGATAATGCCTCCCTCGTCGGGTTCTGCGCTTCGCGTCCCTTCTCGAGAAGAAGAGTCAGTTCGCATGGGAAAGGCTGGGCCAAAAGTATGATCTGGTGTAGGATTGAACATGATTGCGTTTGCGAACATGCGGATCAGCTCCTTTTCTAGCTGCGAGGAATTTACTATTCCCTTCGGCGGCATTAGTTCTGCTGATTTAGTAGCTAGCAGTACGTTACTCTTAGCTGATGGGCCCGCTCCTGAAGCTGCTGCTCCTGCTGCTGCTGCCGAGGCCGATGCGCTTGCTGTTGTCGATGGTGGAGTTTCCTCCGTTGTCTGGGAAGCTTCTAAAGCTGCAGCAACGGCACGGCTGCCTTGGTGTATAGCAGACTTGATAGATTTTATATCCTGAGGGCGGTATATGAGATCCTTGTACCCGGGCGCATCGCGGTTCGTCAATGGCTTGGCAAAGATGGACGCATACTTATGAGCAGCTACGTCGTTCATTATCGGACCGCAAGTACGGCCAAATGTCCGTGAGCACATCACGTATTGGCTATCTTTCAACCAATCTGACGGCCGTTGGTCATGAGCTAGGGAGAAAGACCCACTGGGACTCCTTTTCCGCTTTGCACGATAGTGGCCACTATCCATGTCATCTCCGGTGATACCTACTGGAGTGCTTGGAAGCTCGTTTTTGATGTGACGGGTATCCTCTCCGCGCGAGGCAATGGACTGACCGCGTGTTCGAGGACGGCCCGAAGGTGGATTGCTGGGCGAAGAAGCATCTCCCGCATGCTTGGGGCTCTCACGAGGGGCTGCGCCACCAAGGTCCAGTTTACGACGCGCCGCCTGTCCCGTCCACTGTTCTACATCTTCTTGTCCTGAAGGTGACAAAGCTCGCTCACTGATAGGACTAATATCAGCAGATTTTGGCCGTTCAGGAGAACCGGGCTCATTAGGTAGCGATATAGGACCAGGTATCTTCCACGGTGTATTACCGCTGGGCGTGACCAACGAAGGCCGAGGTGGTCTCTTGCCTATTGACTGCGCAAAAGACGGGAGCTGAGTCTTGAGTTTTTCAAGGGCCGCAGCATCCGGAGTAACAGTAGGTTGTGTGGTTGTCGGTAGAGGAGTAGGGATGCTAACCCCACCGGCCGGGGGCGGAGCTATTGCTGGTGGTGCTGAAGGTGGGGGATTCTGGGTAGGAGGAATGCTGGGTTTATCGACGTTAGGAGCAAGGGGTTTAGGTGTGGGTGTTGCCTTGTTACGCGCCTGGTTGCTTGGTTTCGGGGTGGAGCGAGCAGATCCATGGCCGTAAGAAGACTGGGGTATTGTTTGGGGAGTTAAAAGAGGCTGAAACTTGACGGTCTGAGGAACTGTTTTAGGTGGTATCTGGGGTGTTCTATTCCAAGTTGTATTCGGTGGTGGCGGTGGTTGAAGTGAGGGTTGTTGGGTTGCTCTGTTAAGAGGCATAGGTGGGGGTACATTTTGATATGCGGGCTGTGATGCGGCTGAGGTTGACGTCGGATGAGCAGGTGGGGGAAATGGCTGGATATTGGGGTATATATTGGCTCCTGGGGTGCTGACAGGTGGAGATGCTTGGGGAGGTTGTTGTTGTTGCTGCTGCTGCTGCTGTTGTGCCTGGTTGGCCAACGGCACTGGTTTGAAGTTATACGTAGAAGGGATCGGAGCTTCTTGAGGGGCAGTCACTGCAGGCGGTCCCACCGTGGGTTGTACAGGCCGTACTCCTTGCGGTGTGCCTGCAGTAGTGGGTGTTTGAGCAGGTGCTTGCACTGCTTCCTGTGGGATCCTGCCGGGCACCTTTTCCCGCGCAGCCTCCGGCTTCGGCGGTGGAGTAGCAGCAGCACCTGTGCTGGATGCCACGTTCGAACCATCAGCAGTGACAGGCTGTTTCTGCAGGTCCTCTCCGGCCTCTAGCCGTCGTATCTCGTCCTTGATCTCGGCGTACCGCTGTTCCTCTCGCCGTATCTCCCTCGTCACGCGTTCCTTGTACCTAGCGTAGAGCTTATCGACCAGGTCCGGCATGGCCGCGGAGTGTGACCTGGCCGTTCCATCCTGCGCGGCCTGAGCATGTTTCCTCTTCTTCAGATTGGCCGTTTCCTGCGCACTGTGACTGTGGTCCGAAGCCTCGTCGTCTGAAGACCGGACGCCGTCTACGAGGAGGGTGGTGTACAGCTCCTCGAGGGCCTGCGGGCTCAGTCGGTTCGCGTCGTACTTGACATCCTGCTGGATAAAGGGATTGTTCCGCAGGAGCTCTGAGACTGGCGCAAAGCTATCCGGACGACTCTTTAGCGTCGCCAGAGACTGGAAGAAGAGCAGGGACTCGAAGGGGGTGTATGACGAAAGAGAAGGCATCCCATTGCATTCCCGCGGCTGGTCTCCTTATAGCCCGTGGTGTTTTCTCTCGCCTTTTTTTTGCCTGTGTACCGGCGACAATGCCTGTCCGTAGTGTCTCTCGAGCGTCGCGTCTCTCGTGTGTATCGCCAGCCGTGTCCTCGTCCTTGCCGTCGCTGTCGTTGTCGCTCTGCCCTGCGCGTCACCAGCATTTTTTTTCCGTGACGTTGAAAAAGGCATATCACGTGACAACTATCTTTTTTTTTTTTGTTTCACGTGACTCTCCTTTACAATCCACGTGATCAACACAAAGTCACATGACAATCAACTGGCCTCCTTCCCAAAAAGGAAATGTTTTTATTTCGACATCAATAAAATAATATAAAATAATATAAAATAATAAAAATATAAAATAATAATAATAATAATATGATAAGAAATGAAAAAAACTCCACCTTTCATTCCTTGTGTTCAGGGGGAGACAGAGACGACGGCAGCAGGCGCAAGAGCTGAGTCAACAGTACGGAGTAAACAAGAAGCAAAAAAGGGATAGGAGGCGGCGCCAGGGCGAGTGACGCAGTTTTGGCTAGCGTTCCGCCTCCCCCCTTCTGACCCTTGGGTGCCCTTGGGCTCTTGCGGCTTACACTGCAAACTCGGGACTAGACGACTAGCTGGGCGGGCTACTTGGTAACTAAACCGCTAACTCGCAATTAATACAACTATATCATCATCGACCGCGACCTCCTGGTGACTTCTGGTGACTCTCCAGCCTGACCGTTGCTGCGACTCCGCCCTTTTTGCCCTGCATCGCCCGTTTTCTCCTTCGCCTCCGCGTGAGCAAACGACCGCCCGTCCCCCAGCTGGCTCTGGTTTCGAAGGACAAAGCTATATAAATCCTCAGGGGGGCTCCTCGTCGCTCCTCTGCTCGCCCTGGATCTTCCACCACTCGGACTGGCTGTGCAAAGCACCTGAAACCCTGATCTCCAGTTAATTACTACTTGACCTCGTTCTCCGTCCATCCATAAAACACACCCCTCCCTGTTTCTCGATCTCGAACAACCGCGAAGATGTCTCAGGAGAGGACAGACGTGGAGCTTGATAAAGAGTGGAAGCCCAACGGCAGACGGCCTCAATCGTCAGTCTTTCTTCTCCCTTTCCACTTCATTCATTCACCCATCTCGTCTCTGTCCAAGTTTGAACCGTTCTTTGTTGACCTGTTTCGTTGCAGAACCATGGCTCGCTCTCTTGCTGCTGCGCTTGATAATGCTTTCATGCTTGACTCGGAGGTTGACAACCTCACCAACTCCATCCACTATAAGTATGTCTATGTCCCAATGAACAAAGAACTCAGAGAAAAAGGGAAGACAAGAAACAGCTGCTAATGGTCTGATGTATAGACAAACATTGGTATCAATGCAAAGTCGCGAACTCGAGGCGCTGGAAGCTAGACTTCGAGCCACCGAGAATCGTCTAAGAATGCAGAAGGGGGAGGCACCCCTCGAGCCCGTCAAGGTCAATGACGGTGCTAATAATGATAATGTTACCTCTCAGAATGGCTCGCTCAAGGGCAGATCGCCGCTGGAGGTCTCTACCACGGACAAGGAGCGTGGCCTGCCACCGCTCTCCACGCCCAACCAGTCCGACGATGGCTTCACCACCAACGCTTCCACATCCCCAGCAACCACAGACCAGGACGATGAGGCTGCTGACCATGCTGGCGTTCATGGTCGAGGCGACGCGCAAGGTCATTCTGAGGGCAAGCAGGGATGGTCTTGAGTCAATTCATTCATCACCGCCCTTTTTATTAAAGCCTTCAATGCATTTATTGGGACAGCAATAGCCTTTTTCCTCGTTTTTTTCTTTCTTGATTTTTTATGTTTTGGTTATATCTACCTTTATACCCGAGCTCAAGACCCCCCATGACTTTTTATATTCTTCCCAACCAAACAGTCATACAACGGCACCCCGGGCTCAATATCATGTTCGACGTTGCTATGCATATCCTTTCTTTTGGGGCATTTCACTTAATTAAACCCAACTCACTCGATGCCTGGCTGCTGCGTCTATACATGTCTGAACGGTATATGACAGGTTTCGGGAACACGACTCCCCCATCCCTCTCTTTGGTCTCCCCCTCCCACATATCTCTCTCTTGCCACATCCTTCTTATCCTTCTTTTTACAACACACTTATCATCTTGACGCTGTCGGATATATATAGTTTAATTATCTCATTCGCTTGCCCTCGCCCATTCGCTTGGTTGACAATGTTTACTTTGTTCTTATGTCTTTATAATACCTTCATTTCTCTCCCCTTTCCCGCTTCGTTGTAAGATTAATTGTCGGGTTCTGACTGCATGTTGTATGCTTTTTTTTATTTGGAAATACTATTACTTGCTATAATAGATGCGTTGGTTGATTGCATTGGGGTGTATATCAGGCGTCCTTGACTAACGTCTGGAGAGAAGTTTCGGGGTGTTTGACTGCTACTTAGGTGACGGAAACAAGATATATAAAGGAATCAATAATACAAAAGTTCTATTGTTGCAGATCTTGCGGTAGTGTTTATAGTGTTAGAGAACAATACTTATTTACAGAGCGTCGGTGAGAGCCTTGTTAAGCTTGGTGAGCTTAGAGGAGACGCTGAGGTCGATTGTTCGGCCATCGAACTCAACAATGAGTCCACCAACGATTTCTGGGTCGACCTGTAGCATACCATATTAGTGTATATTGACAAAACAGAAGAGAAAACAGACGAATAATGCTTACCTTGGTGACAACCTTGAGCTTCTTGCCCTGGCTGTACTCAGACTTGGCGATGGCAGTCTCTAGACGCTGGATGGTCTTCTGGTCAAGTTTCTAACTCGGAGAATCAGTATCAAAATCAACATTCACTGCAAACATGGACATAGAACACATACCTGAGCGCTGGTGATGTTCAGCTCAATCTCACCCCGGTAAGCGCCCATCAAAGTCTCAAACTTCTCGCAAACACCCTGAAGGACACCCAATCGGTTGTTCTCAGCAAGAGTCACGAAGAAGTTGCCCAAAAGCTCGTTCTTGCCAGTAAGCTTCTGCAGTTCCTGGACAATCTGAGACTTGTCCTGTGCAGTCAAGGTAGGAGTGTGCAGGATAGGACCCAACTTGGCGTCCTTCTTGAACACCTCGGCCAAAGCATTGAGAGCCTTGGAGGTCTGCTCTAGGCTGCCGGTCTTTGCGGAGGCAGTGTACTGCTCATGGGGAAAAAAAAACAACGACGTTAGCGGGTGAGTTTTTTTATTTTTGCGTATCGGCTGCCTGTCGTCCGCGACGGCCAATTATCATCCACCACCATCGGAAACCAAGTATATACGCACCAGGGCATTGGCGTAAGTGCCGTCAACGCCGAAGAGGGCGACTGGAGGCTTTGGGTCTTGGGCTGCGGCGGCATAGGTTCTGGCTCCGTTGACGACGGATCGTCGGGAGAACTGCTGGGCGGAAGCGCGAAGGCTCGCCTGGGCGACACGGGAGGAGAGCATGGCGAGAAGATAGGGGCTCGGGCCGTCGAATTGAGCTGCTGTTGGGCGGTGCGAGATGGACAGCCGGAGATGCTGCTGGTTGCTGGCGGTTTGCAAGTCGTCGTTCGTGGTTTGGAGGTCGAACTTCGCAGTGGGTTTGAAGTTGCTCGGCGGAAAACAGAGTCACGTGATATAAAATTCGGAAGACTTTGGGGGTTGAGGAACTACAATAATAATAATAATAATAATGACATTATTGATATCGCTGGACTTCGAGCTGCATGTCGTCGCATAACACTGAGATGCGGTTGAAAAGGCTGTGGTAGCTCTTTAATTATGTATCATTATTATACGTTATGCTATTTATCATGACTCGTTTGACGAGGGATGCCGTGGACGCCAGGTCCGGTAATGCTCAGTAAAACAGGCAGCAGAGAGGGCTGCCGAGAAGAGGACAATGATGAACGAGGGTGAGACGATACAGGTGGAACCGACGGGAAGGAGTATGCAGTGTCTTTGATGTGCTGTTTAGTCACTTTTGAGCATACTGTCAACCAGATCACCCAGCGGTCCCCAGAAATCCTTCCCGCTGGCCAGGTTGTGCTCCTCGATAAACAGCACATAATGCTTGAAGCTGGTGTTCAGGTGCGGTTCTAACCCAAGATGAACGACGACTGGGTAGTGGTGGCAGTATATGTGTGCATATACACGGTACATGCGTTTGAACAGCTGTCTCAGCAGAGAAGGGAATGTTTTTGGGAAAGGCACCCCTAGAATGATTATCGTCAACTTTAGTCTCAAACTCGTCCTCGATTATCACAAGGAGTATCGGTTCAGTGGAGCTCATACCTATATGGCTGGGGAACATCTGCTCGTTGTCAATGTTTGCCTGTACCCAAGTCATGAGATGTTCTACGTATTCGGGTGCAGACATCTTTGTAGGACGCTTGAAGTTCTCGTTATCCTGCCATAGATACTCAAATCTGTAATCCGCCAGTTAGTGACAAATAGCATAATATGTAACAGCACCGGAAAACGTACTCGTCCGTGGCCTTCATCTCAGGACATGTTTGCGGCGAGCAAAACTCAGTGATTGACCCATACAGCAGGTTGATCTGGTTATAAAAATCGACCACTATCCATCCAGTTAGTCAGTCAGCGCCAGCCCATATGTTCACTCTTTATGTTTCCTCCTCCGCGCGTGCTCTCCATCAAGGTATAAGAACGTACAGTTAACGGCTAACCATTCGTTGACATCCTCTCCGTCAGGGAGTTTGACGGCCTTTCGAAGACTCCCGCTGCCCAACGTCGCCTCCGCAAACTGTCGAAGCTGGTAACTTCCGCTGCCTTTATTCGCTGCTCGCGGCCGGAATGGCCCCCGCGTGCGCGAGTTTCTGTTTGTCGAAGAGAGATCTGTCAGCGGCGGGGCCATCGCGGTCGCGATAAGTATAGATGTAGGTTCAATATCGAATAAGAGAAGCTGAAGTAGGGTCTCAGGCAGGAAAAAAAGTGATAGAAGTCAGGGCCGCAAGATTCGCAGAGACTGAACGTACATGGTGTTGATAAGAGAACTCGCCATACTGTATGTCAACAGGGATGCGCCGTGGGTCGTCGATTTCCCTTGATCCGCGCCTGATGCAATTTCTCGACAGCTCGTTGGTTCTCGGAAATATTTCTTGTCGATAAAAAGGTGAACTGATTGGACGATGCAAGAAGATGGAGTCGTTAAGGCGTAAATTAGGAGTTGGTATTTAAACGCCTTTTGTCTTTGCTGGATGTTTTATCGCTTTTTGGTGGTTGCCGGGGAGACGGCCACGCCTCGTCCAAATCTGGGGAGATCACAGGTTCTTAATATACTGGTTTCGCAGCATTTAATACCCGTGCAATGATTCAAGCAACAGGGTACTAATCTCTAAGGACTGAGCATCGCTATACTTCGTAAGGAACCGTTTGAATCATGGTCAACGCCAAAGGGGGTACATTACAGCTATTATACATTGCTATAGAGCGACAACGGTAGAAATCCAATCCGGACGACATGTAGAATTCATCTAATCAACATATGAACATCGATGGTTACCGAAACCATCCCAAGCTTCTAATCCCACTATCAATTCGACGTAGCAGTGGTTTTATATAGGTATTCCCTGCAACTCCTCTCGGCTAGGCTCTTGCACCGTCCCGCCATAGACCGTAATAGGGATGCTAACTTCAAAAGATTCACAGGATATATGTTCTGCAGCGGCAAATACAGTCCCTCGTTCATCATGCTCGACGGGTTCTAACAGACCAATCCCAGATGCTGACGTATGAGCATTCTCCGTAGAATCGGGCAAGCTGCTTGTTACGAACTCAAATCGAAGTTGCCATTCAACATTCACACCAGAAGTGATCAGAGTAGGAGTGGCGGAGACCGGGATGGCGGGCGTGAAGGCCACTCTGGATGCAAAAAGGGTGTTTTCAAAACACATAGCGTGAACCTTTCGTGTGGCACGAGTGATACTTGCCGCAGATCGAAGGGCAATTTCGGGATTGATTGTTTCATGGGTTTCTAAAGAGCCACGTAGAGAGTGGCAGTGAATAGCTGCGTTTGTAAAATCGGCAGTAGCCACGATAGTTTCTCCTATTCGGTGAGATGGTCGATTAAGCACTATCACGGCAACTCGCCGGCCACTGCGAGATATTTCAAAGCGGTTGACACTCTGATCTGATGCAGTTGACTGGTTGCTACGTAGGATAGCTAAGTCAATGGCGTCCTTGCATGAAAAGGGGGCTTCGTGATGAAGGTGTGGCGGCCCAGGACTTATCGGTGACACCAACGAGTCCTGACGGTCCTTTTGCTTGAGGATTTCGTCTACGTATGATAGAAACTGAGGTGCTGATGTCCATGCTTTCGCGCTTATGCTTTTTTCCTTTGCTGGTGGCCGCGGGGCTGATGAATCAATACTTTGCACTCGTGCTTCATCCCTCAGCACCACGTATGGCTGCATTAGATCATGTCCGAGAACACCTCCTTGAGCTGTGATATCATTAGTGAATAGCATATAAAAAAGTGACGAGGGGATTGCCCTTACCATCCACGCCACTGAGAACACGGAATGGCACATTGATCTTGTGAAGTCGCTGGTTTCCCTTTATGGCTGCCGCCTTTTGCGTTCCAATAACCAAATTATATGAAATCTTTATAGCCTTGCCCTTGTGGCTTGAAGGTAGCCCGCGGGGTAGAGTAAATGAGAATGAAAACGTCTTTTCCTGCCCAGGTGCCAAGCGGAGGTCGACGAAAAGAAGGGACTGCGGAGTTGATAGTAGAGGTATGGAGTTGGATGAAGAGGCGCCTCGCATTTCCCGTAGCCCGTCAAGTTCTCCTGTTGAAGTCAAACTTGCAAGAGAGTTCCCCAGACTGCTGAGCCCTATATTTCCCCAGAACCCGCTTCTAGGCTTCGACTGCCTTGGTGACCGTTCATTGCTGCCATGGTGACCAACAACGCCCTTACGCTTTACTTCTTCGAAGATTGATTGATCAAGTAATGATCCATCAACCGTGAATGAAGCGTTGATCTGGGCATAACCCATGAGAAGTGTTTGCGACTCATTAGATCGACCGTTCCTGGTTGGCTCAAGGTTTGATTGATGTCTTCGATGCCTCGGAAGGCCCCTGTTCATAGAAGCTAATTTATAGTCTGAATCAAGAGTCTCCGTGGAGTTATTGCTAAGAGAATAAAACTCAGTACTACTTCGGGTACTGCCCTCCATCGCTGATACAGCAGAGAGTTTCGTTGCGGGCGTAAGGCAGCGAGGCTGGTCAGCTGTCAACTTCCCATTGGCAGCAGTTACATTAATATGATCGGGTATGGTAGCTTTAGTAGGAGGTTCAGTGTATTGACCCTCTGGGGCTGGCTGCGTTGATGGATTTGTTTTATTTTCGGGTGAAGGCGGAGCCTGCGGAAACTTGAAATCTCCATGGAAAGCGCTCATTTTGCGTGGTGCTCTGCGCATCGGACTCCTTCTAGCGGCCGGTGAATTATTGATTGGATATCGGGAGGGGTCTGCTTCATCCTTGGTGCTCGGAAGGGAGAGGTTGGACTGTGAGGTAATGGGCGAGAACCTCGAGATTGGAGTTCGGGGAGACACTAAATCCAGAATTAACACTCTGAGTTTCACATAAAAGGTTGGAAATCAAGTGATGAATTAATACCAGCTGGAAACTCATCTCTGTAAGGGTCATGTCTCCTAGGAGGGGCTTGAAAACTTGCTGATCGTACATGCCGGCCTGGCTGCGGACTCTTTGGGGACTGAAGCTGTTTACGGTCGTGAGAAATATCCGTCTCCAAGGATATTATTGAAACAGATCGTTTATGGGAATGGCCTGGTGTGTTGGAAGCTCCATGAGTGCGTGATGGGGTGGTAGGAGGAAAGCTTTGGCTCAAGATGGGAGAGGAGCCAACGGAAGCAGAGGCCCTGTGATGTGGGTGTCGAGGCCGATACCCCGAGGACTGCGGGCGACGCGGCGGATTATTGAACGAAAATGGGTTAAGGGATTTTGCTGGAGAGTAGTTGGTCCCATCTGTGACAGTGTTAATAGGCCGAGATCCTCCTCGATAATGCTTCGTCGTCCCAACAACCTCGTTTCCTGCCTCTTCCTCTGTCACATTTTTGAAGGTGATTGTGCATTCAACGTCTTCTCCGGCGAATATCGTTTGTTCTTTCCATCTCACGAAGACCTGAATGTCCGATAACATAACGGTAGGCTGGTTTTTTGCTGCATGGATGGATGCGTCGTTAAGGGATTGGGGTCATGTCAAGATCGTTCCGTAAAGAATTTCAATGCATATCTGGCTTGTAAATGTGCATTCTCGGTGTAGCCAGCGTAGGCTTTGATATCGTGCTGTATATAGACCGGGGGAAAAAGCCGTAGCTGCAGCAAGTGTGCACTCGGTTACCTGTAAGGATAAAGCATCGATGGTTGTAGATGTGGAGAGTTCGACTACGCATTTCTCCAGGACGTTCTTGGCTGATCTTCATGTGGCCTTGGCATGCGCTTGGCGGCTAACTTAAGCGCCGACGGCTACTCATTATTCGGACTACCCATTAGATATTAAGAAGTGTGATATGTGAGGTAGTATTGTACAGTTAGAGGTATGTAAACAGTGTTAGAGTATGGGCTGTAGGAGTTAGTGGGGAGTTGATCTACCAGTCAGGCTTTTCTTTGTAGCTTCGCTCATTGTATTCAATTCTTCGCGGATGCCTTTGAGTGCTACTCCTTCTGACCTTTGACGAGTCTTCCTTCGCACAGTTATCCCCGGCATAATCTCTTTTAGTACCGAGGAGATCGTCTGCAGTAACCTCCCAAGGATCAAATCTTCGAGAGGAATTGTCTTCAGGAACAATTCTTTTCTGGGGAATTCCTTCCCGGCGTCTGTTTTGAGACGGATATTCACCAGAAAGGTCTTCAATTGAGTTTGAGGAATAATGGCGTTGAGACAACACTTCCTCAGCACTAGGATCGCCTTTAGAAGTTGGGTCCGTGTGCCTCAGTCCCAGCTCCATCATTTGCTCTTGGATCCTTATCTTTCGTTTCTCCCAGCGATTTCTCCTATCAATTTCCTCTGCCTCTGTGGCTCGCCATTTGCTTTTCAATATCCTTCGAATGGCTTCAGGGGAGATTTTGAATTCCTCCGCAAGATTCTTTGTCGAAAACTTCACAGAGTCCATGCTATGTAGCTTCCGGATGCTCTCCATAGTGTCGGGAGACACCTTCTTCCGCGGTTTCCATCCTTCTTTAAATTTCTCCTTCAAGGCGTTTTTCTGGACTGCCCATGCGGGTAGAGGTTTCTTAGGCTTAGGTTTCGTTGATTTGGATAGACTAGTGTCTTCAGCGGTTACTTTCTCGGTTTTGGCTGGAGGGGCAGTGGAATAAGATGCCACAAAATGCAATTGTTTCAGTGCACCATTTTTTGGGATAGATAATGGAGTGTAATGAGTTGAGGTGTAATTGTTATAAGCTTGTGAAGGGATTATTTGCGACGCGATCGAGGATGCGAAAGATGCTGTAGTGACCGGCCGGGTAGGATGACAGAGAGATCGAAGATGGCGTAAAACTGCAAATATATTTGCTGCTGTTAACGGCTGCGACGACATTGTAATCGCCGAACACAATCAGGGAACCGTTCGGGATTGTTTGTCTACTGTTTAACGGACATCAGAATCAAATCGAACTTGCAGAAACGACAGTAGCTTAGGTCAAAGCTCTTTCACGTGACACATATTTTTCAGCCAATCGTTACGGGGTATCCATAACCTAGACTGCTAGGATGCCCTTGAACAATAAGCCGTAGACGCGAATTTGAGAATTAACGCGAATGAGGATGGAAGTCAACCCGTCCTGTATAATATATAGGAAAATCTCTTAATTATATACACTTTGCATACGGAGTACTCCGTATTTGGCTTGCTATTCCACGGAGAGCTAGTTTGACCGTTGACTTCATCCTGACTACCCAGCCAAGAATTTTATCGAAGCTTGGAAAGATATGCTTCAAGGACCGGTCTCGCAATCATTGCTGCCCCTTTCATACCAGTTTCACCATCAACTGCAAAGACCTGGGTATTTGTATTTAGTCATTTAGTCAATTAAACCGACAATTTCGCTCAAAAAATGGCTCCATCCCGGAGCCGACACCGTCGATGATGCATTGGTTATTGTAGCACCAATTTTAGGGTTAAATAACTAGACAAGCGCAGTAAGAAAGTTGGTCCCCTGAGGCTTCGGGGTAGCTGTGGTTGACGCTGAGGTTTGATATTCTTTTTGGAGTTGAAAAGAATTGTAGGAACAATTAAAGTTTAGTATATCCCCAGAAATCAACCAATGAAATATTGAGTAAAGTTAGCCAATGAAAGAGTTCATTCTCAACCCCTTATCTCCACATATTTCTGCTCAATATAAATTTCGCTTTATTGTTCAACCCAGGATTGTTGCTATTGTTGAGAGATGAAAGGATAAGAAAATGAACTACTTAGTGGGAGGATAAGAAGGCTACTGGGGAACTGACCAGGCGGGTTTTCTTCTCTTCCTAACTAACTAGTCCTTGATGTCTTCGTTACGGAATACCATCAAGCCAGCAATGTCGGAGCCTGCTGGAACCTCGCCCATGGAGGGGGCATACAAACAGCACACACACACACCACATCTGGAATCCGACTATTCCTACGATTCAGAAGATAGCACAGATATCAATGGTGCCAGACGGGAAGTTGACCGCTCAAACCTCCCTGGAGGCAACCGATCATTAGCCGGTATCTCTATCAGGTCATTTCTCCTTGGCCAAGCTGCTGGGCTCTGCTCACTGCTCACCTTAATACTGGCCTACCATTCACATCCTCTATGGAGAGCCCCCTTCTTCATTACATGTTTAGCTGTTTTCCACTTCCTTGAGTTTTACATAACGGCGGCTTATAGCACCTCGTTTGCCACGGTATCTGCCTTCCTTTTGAGCTCAAATGGTGCTGCGTACAACATTGCTCATAGCTCTGCAATGGCCGAGTGTCTCCTGAGCCATCTTTTGTTTCCCGAAGGCTATCTCCAATGGACCTCTATGCTTTTTGGTGGAGTGAGAGTTCAGGTCTTTGTTGGCCTGATGATGGTCGTTGTTGGGCAGATTATCCGCAGTTTTGCCATGGTCCAGGCAGGCTCAAACTTCACCCATACTGTTCAGACACAGCGAAGAGACGAGCATGTACTTGTTAAGTCCGGTTTATACAGCATTCTAAGGCATCCTAGCTATTTCGGATTCTTCTGGTGGGGACTAGGAACGCAATTAGTCCTTGGGAACTTCGTTTGTTTCATCGGATATGCCCTCGTTCTTTGGAAATTCTTCTCATCTCGGATATACCGTAAGTGCATTGCTCATTGGAAGTGATTGGACTGTAACTAATATATTCTAGGCGAGGAAAAGCTTCTCATTGGATTTTTTGGCAATGACTATGTAGAGTATAAGAGCAAGTCCTGGGTAGGAATTCCATTCATTGGCTGAGTGGGAAATGCCATCTTCTATCCATTGTGTATGTATGTCGGGAGAGTCAACAACAGAATTCATTGAACGTTCTAGATTCAAAATATTGTTTGCTGTCATTAATGCGGTTAATTGGCGCAAAACAAGTCATTGTTTCCCTCTATCTTGTCTACTTATGTAGGTGGCAGAATGTGAATATATAGTTGTCTCTGCTTTCCACTTACCCCCTTCATTTGAAGCTATTATGCAGACGCTAATTATACCCAGTGATATGTTATGCGATACATCACACCATTCCACAATATAATACTACTATTACACTGGTTACCAGCGACTTAAAAAGCAAGACTATAGAAAACATCCCTAGTCTGCTTAACAAACCTAATATACTAGACGATACAACCCCAAATTGCAGACAAATCTCAAGAACATACCTTGCTACCATGTGTGGAATCCGAACACACACTCATCGACCCTGTGGTTGTAGGTTACATTATATACGTCTCTGCAGGACATTTAATACCCCTCCATGCCCATCTGCACCGAAGGACACATCTCGGTTCATCACGACAGGCAATATATACTTCTCTAAAGCCATGCTCCATCGCTGCCCGAGATTATACATCTTTCCTGCCGAGATGGACCCGTATCCATGTCATTCTCACTGGAAACAGTTTTCTGACCCAATAACGCTTCTTCAACCCCCTGATGATCCCGAGGGAGAGGTTGAGTCGGTTCCCAATTCTCGGCATAACCATTACCAAGAAGAAAAAGATGACGGTATGCAGGCAGACAATCAGGGAAGCAGTCATTCGATTGTGATCTCTTCCCAAACTCCGGGACCTCGTTTGCTACGGGAAAGGTTTCGCGGCCTAAGTTGGAGCTCCTGGAAGAATCCTTAGGTCTAAATGTCAGGATAACCAGTGTTATCGATGTGTATGCGTGGAAACTATGGGAGATATTATCTTGCTGTCTATGGCCAAACCATGGTCAGAGGGTATAAATTGAGGTACTCCTGATAACAATATTGTGCGTCCAGAGAAAGGCAGGCAGTGAAAAGGCGTTGGGTATATGAATTCTTGATAGAACTGATTCAGCCATTAATATGTATACATCGGATAAAAAGAAAAAATAAAATCCGCCTAATAATTAAAATCATACAAGACCGTCTATAGTTTACTCTGTATGAGTTGCATGGCCACACCACCGCTCATGCTATACAGTTGGGTATCCTCTTCTTCGGATTTTCGGAGAAGCATATCTCTCCCTGACCGTGTGCTCCACCATGTCACGCAAAAATTGGCTCGTTCCACATCCATGTCTCCGTTACTTGACGTATCCCAAAACTTCTCTTGACACTTTCTCCTTATCTCTTGGTCATGAATCCGGTTTATCAAGTCAACAGTTAGGTCTAACCAGTCCTCAAGTAGTTCAACTCGGAGATATGGAAGACCATCGATTATGGTTATCGTCAGTACACCTTGCTCTGAAAGGTCCTCAGGTGCTGGGTTTGGATTTGAGTCGGTTGCTGGAGGCAGTAGAGGCGTTGTGGGTGCGCTTATAGCTCTATCGTATAAGAGTTGGAGGAGAACTGAGGGTAAATACGGTTGGCTGTTGGCAAGTGGTGATGGGGGGGCCGTTATCTTGAGAATGGTTTTGAATGCGAGGCGGAATTGCCTTGCGGATAAGTTTTGCGGGAAAACCTATACAGAGTAAGCATTATCGAAATG